CAATCCGCCAGGCACCACAGAACTCAGCATTACCGACAATTACTGTAACTACATTGCATATTAAATTAAAAGTTCGGTCCCTAATGCTTGTTTTTTCGAAGTACAACTACAGTCAATGTTCGAGTCGGAAAAATGTTGGTGTTCCTAATCGTTACCTTAAACAGAAGGAGACCAGACAATGCCTTATTCGAGATTTGATGCTAGATGAGCACACATGACTCCATCAAAGCAAAATAAATTCCCCAAGATACCTCGGTCTTTGAATGCATTTTAGAACAAAGACAACCTTTCGAAGAATTCAGTAAAGTGAAAACGATACAGCACTAGTTCCTCAGACAATTTTTAAAACGATGACCATGTCAAATCAAATTGACAAATGCTTATTTACACCAACTATCAATTACCAACTTCGAAGGTTTCAATGAAGAAGTCGAACCAATTTACAAGGAAGGTAAGACAATTTTATTAAGTTGGAAGCACTTGTGTGCACACAAGCACACAGACAAATTTAAGGGATCTCAACAGACAGCTGAGGAGGGAAATGGAAAAAAAATAGCGGCCACACTCGATAGTATCTACGTCAAAGGGAAAAAGGGGGAGGAGGTCATGATTTGATTATACAGAATTATGTACACAGACAGCGGGATTTTACTTCTTGAGCTACATATGCGATTTTGTTTTGGACGATTTCGCACCACTTTCCTTAACGGCCTTCAACTTTTTTCCTTTACTCTTTTTCAACTTCACTTTCTGCTTTTGATGGACCTTGGTTGGCAGGTGCGTCTGACTCGCCCTCAAGGGGGAAATAATTTTACTGGCTGCGACAGGAGTGAGGCACGCGGGAGTAGGGAGCGAGTCTGGTAGACAGAGCGGACGATTGGGTGATCGGACATCTCGCATGCCGCCACCACATTCTCCCGACTCAGTGCTTTCAAGCCTCGTCACATCACCTTGCGAGGAAAAAGAAGTATAGGAGTTCTAGATACAAATCAAGCTGACAGTTAGTGATTAAAGTAATCGAGTGATCCAGCTTGGAATGAGTGCATTTTACTTCCAGAGGGTAAAAATGAACGCGCGCGGATGCGAACCAGAGCATTCAACAAGCGTGACTGTGGGCAGAAGGTTTATGTGGAGTGAAGTCAAAGCGTGAAAAACTCTCCAGGCGTGTTTGTGTACAGCTCGCGATAATGGTCAAGTGGACGCGGCGTCGGTCGTACCTTACCACTACTGTGTAGAAGCACATTTGCACAACCCTAGTACACGTACACACATTTGTTTGCCTTTTCTTTGTGTAAAACACTAAGTACGTCACACTGTTCAGGGTATCGTTGGTTGAACTACCCACGAATTCATCCTAAATAAAAGGTGATAAAGGCAATACTGAGCTAACAGATTTTATTTAATCTAAGGTATTCTTATAAACAGAAAAAAATTACGCTAGCAGTACTGAACAAGAAGGACAAGATGAAAGTTTATGAAAAACAAAACTTTCTGCTGATACGTTTCCAACTTTTTGAGTTTCAGTTGGAGGCACAAAACCAATTGTATGATCTACAGTTCTACTTGCGACAAATTAAAAAAAATATGGGCAGCCATTGGTGGTCGTCCCCCACTACCAAGTTATGTGTTGTTAATTCGTGGCCGGAAGAAATAATTCACCAAGAGCACCTAGAATCCGATAGCCAGCGACTGATGAGTCGCTAATATAGATGCATTTGAGTAAGGGGCGAGGATTACAATGCAACAGGAGCTCACCAGAAGGCACGTGAGGCAGCGGTGGGGCGAAAGAATCACATTCCGTATGTGGTGCAAGCGGTTTGGCATCATTGTTGCCACAGTCACTGCTAGAGGTATTCGTGACCGTGGTGGAGGATGCGGTAACAGTGTCGGTACGTTGGCGACACCTGGCGCGCAGATTCATAAGGCGTAGAATCTCGTGTTTGCGAATTTGGTACTTCAACTCTATGCGACGCCGGTAATCGGCCTCCTCGCGATTAAGAATGTTCAGAAAGGTGCGCAACTCCGCCTCAGAGAAAGAAGACCACTGAAAGGTACGAGAAACACCATACAGCCCATCTCATTCCAACTTCCCACAGCCAGCGTTTAGATTTTCTGTAAACGAAGAAGAATATTTCAAGGAGTTTAAGAACCAATATCTCAATATTTCTTCAGGCACAAGATGTGTAAGTAAATAGGCATTAAGGCAGACACAATTAATCAAAACCGCACACCTAATATTTCAATATCCACTGTCTTAAGCATCAAAAAAATACAAAGCATGAAGCACAAACACTGAAATTATCATTTTTGTGCCAGACGAGATTGCCTTGTAGCAAAATCTGCCGCAGAAAGGCTAAATATTTTACGAAAGATATTGTTTCCGAGGTCAATAAACATATGAGAAAGGAGATAATGGACCTCGATGTCTCCGGTCTCGTTCTCCTGCAGCACGATACGCTTGACGGTGAGGATGGCATTGAAGTGCTCGCGATTCAGGGCCTCCCCCGCCTTGCCGCCACCCTCAGCGGAGGAGTCCAAAGTCCACTGGAGCAGCAGACCCAGTGGCGACTCATCTTCGAATAACTTTCGTACCGAGACTAAAGGAAGTAAACACGTCGCCGCCACAGCAAAGGCAGCAGCAGAGTTAAGATGAAAAAGTGCCTCGACAAATTTGGGGTGGCAAATGAAGGTAAGTTTTTAACATAAGGCGTGATGCAATGGTAACAAACCATACAAGTTGAAGAAGATTTGTCGATAAGGGATGATGCGTCAATAGAGGAGGAACTCGTCAAGGTCCATATAATGGCGCAACGCATTCAATAAAGCATTCGGTTAATGAAGAACATGCATCAGGCACTAAACATTGGGATTCAGCGTCGTGTGACACATCAGTGTTAATGATCCGTATGTTCCTCGAAAGTGGTAAAATATTACCAGCAGAGAACCTCTCGTGGTACTCCTAATATTCCAAAGCAGAGAAATCCATCAGCGTTAGCGAAAAAATTACAGTTGGCAAGTCGGAGTAGTACACAGGCAAAAAGGTGCCTCAACAAATAAGGAATGTGCTGGATACTGAAAAAAACGACAATGACATGCGAGCTGGTGATGGAAGGGGTTCCAATAACAAATGCACCATTTTGCACCAACGCAATGTTGGAGATGTACCTTATTTAATCGAAATAATTGGGATAAGATAAAGGTGTACACATAGAAGTGGTGTAAAGGCGAAACCACTAGAATGCAGGGACGTTCGGTAGTAGATGACAAATAAGCAACACAAAGCCCTCACCATCATGCTCGCCGAAAATGGTGTGTTCGTAGAGGGCGAATTTCTGAGGGTTGTCGTCAATATTGAAACGGTCTAGAAGACTGCTTATTACCTGACTCGCAGTTGTTGACCTGTAAGCAAAAATAAAAAGCGAAACGTGAGAGCACAAAGTGTGTTAGAAAACCAAATAGCGTGGAATGAAAAAAGTGGGGAAAATCCGCTGTTGAAAAAATAAGTATGGTAAAAACATTAATGCTAACTGAGGAGGCGGTTACTAACGCAGAAACATCGTGCTTGGAAAATGCCATCCGGTCCAGTGAACTAGATTGTTAAAAGACGTCGTAGGATGTCTTGCAGAAAGGGGGTGTCATCGAAACTACTCACAGAGCATAATGAGCGAAGCATCTGTGGTTTGGAGTGAGTGTGGCAAGAAATGGATTGCATAAAACGAAATAAGGCGGAAACAACGCCATCGAATTGCAAGCATACGTTAAGAAGGTCGAAAAGATTGCGACACAAACTCTCAGGAAGGTTTTAAGACACCATATCAACATCACACATTCTAATGATTTAAAGGCATATCTATTAATTACTGTCTTGAAGAAGACGAAAGAATCATTTAAAAAGGATGAAAAAGTGCTTGTATGGGTGTCTTCTAAACCAAGGGACGATTTTTAAGGGGATAGAAATTGACTGTTTACGTTTACAGATTAAGGTTAGTCTAATTTGCTACTATGGACTCCAAGGAAGGCGTCTCTGAAGAATTTCAACGTGTTACTTTTATGTACACGCGAAAACTGTCAAAACTACCTAGACACCTAGAACTCGGTGTCCATTTCCATCTTCTAACTGTTGTGTCGGCAACACCGTCCAAGTAACGTAGTTCGTGCAAAACAAACTCAAAGAAAAAAAATGGTGAAATTAGCAGAATTCATACAGCTAAAGTTACACTTGGTTGAAATTCAAAGAAATGCGGTCAGAAACAATTTCGACAAGGAGAGAGTAGAGCGCTTACAGATGGACATGCAGGAGCTTGGAGCTGCCCCGAGGAAGGCGAAAGGAGGTAATGCGACCGATAGTCTTGCTGCGCAATCTGACGGATCTGGCAGACTTCGGTTGTTGCGCCCTGGTGAACGCCTCCTCCTCAGTGGAGGGGTCATCACCATCATCGCCGCCGACAATGTCGAAGATGGAGGGCGGCCGGGCGGTGAGCACCATGCGTACTGGACGAATGAGGTTAATGTGAACACGCACTTGACCCTCGCAGTCACCAGGCTGCAACTTGGGGTTCTGGGTAGAAGAAACAGAGAGGAACAATTTACAAAGCCCTTTCAAAATGCCTTATAGACTGAAGTTAGTGAGCTCTGTTATGACAGCCAAGTGGCTTAACGTTAACTTTTATCCACGTAAAGTAACATTGAAGCCGCTGTACAAGGCTCCTAAAATACTTAACACCGACAGAGAGAACAAACTGCTCCTACCGTGTTATCAATGGCATTCACATTACGCGCATTTTGCAAACGTGAAGCTCCAAGCAACATTCGATCATAAATTGAACACTGCTAAGTGAGAAAAGAGTATGGCACCATATATCAAGTACTAAATTAGCTGATAGAAAATAATTAGTCGAGAAGAAAAAAGGCGCTTTAGTGGATTCCCCCAAAGGTCGCAAACTTCCGGATAACCTTTGACCTCAAAAATTTAATGGAGAACAGAAGACAAGCGACGAATATCGCGGAAAGTGGCAGTTGAACGCAAAGATTGCACACCATGCTTAGCAGGAAAGCGGAAATCGGCAAACCCTGTAGTCTTGGATGCATGGATATGAATTAAGGAGGCACTATAGTCACTTACTATAGTGACTAAATTGACTTCCCAGAAATGAGACCGGCAAGTAGAGCTCGTACCATTTTGGCGCAGAGGCCGAAGTCATTGGTGTTGAAGATGTTCAGTCGTCTAGCAAGTTCCATGGGTTTCCAGGGAAGCGCGGCATTTCGAGGGCCGATGGTTACCTTAGTGTAGGTAATCTCCTCCGCCCCGGTCTGATGGCCAGTGACTGCAGCCAAACCGGTGGCCTGCATGCGGCTGCTCATAACCACCGGCGGTGCATCATTGGCAGCCACAGTCGCGCTTAAGGCGAGAGACGAGGCGACGGCGGGACTTAATTGCCAAACGGAGATACCGCGCTCACGAATGTCGCGTCGGTCAAGACTACTGATGTCGTACGTGCCGACGGTGACAGAGGCGAGATTCACAGCGGTGGTGTGGCGGCGCGACAACTCTGAGGGTCGGCGATTGTTGTGACGACGACGCGTCTGCAGCATCGACTGGTGGCGAATTGTCCTCCCTTGCGGTGATGCCGATATACGCGGCGGCCGCAGCAAAGGTCGTTGGTGTTTGCTCGCTTCCCCCACTCTCGAGGTCTGATCCACTTTCAAAATGGTGATGGCTCAATGATATTCAAAAATGTGATACGACTGTGCAGCATTCAAAGAGCAATTCCAGATCAAATAGTATTTTTCACTTGGATATTCAAGCAGTGTGCGATAAATAATTTTATTTAAAATTCATGATTAGACAATCATGAAGATAGTCATTCGGGCACTCATCAGGATTAGGGAGGCCACAAGCCTATGAATACAGTATAAAAGGTTTTTCCCCAGTAGGGCGAAGAATGATTCCACGATCATCGTTTTTCAGATTTAAACGCACAGATTACCAACCCTTCCGTTATTAAAACCACTGTTGAATCGGGTGGTAGCATAAGCTCAGATGCAGGATTGGTTCCGACTAAAGTTATACGCGGGTAGTTTTAAATTTTGTAACTAAAAGTTGCAATGCGTTACAATAAAGGTGATTGCATAGGATAATAACATCAAATATAATCATAGTTGCTTTTTAATATATTAGATACTTTTATTTGCAGTGTAAGGCGGATTGACCATTTTTCAACATTTGAAGTTAAAAGTAAATATGAGCAGATAATCGAATTCCTTGATGTCAAAAAGTCACCAAGTATGGCTCCGAAAGCAAAGTATGATGAAGAGAATGCAGTTAACTAAAGAAATATGAAAACACGTAAATCAACAGTTCCTATGAGAGAGGGCGGATGCGCATCTTTAACGCATACGACTTGTGCGGGTGACCCACTACCTGGCCCCAGAAAAGCTGAGGCGATTGTTTATTTGTGATAGCACACAGCACAGATTGGCCAAAGTAACGATGACATTTACGCGCACGCGGTGTCAAAACGACAGTCAGTATGGTGTCTGACACCGAATACAAAAATGAAAAAGATCTCGTCTACAGTTTCTGTTAAATTCACCGCATGTAAACGGTAAAAACAATGTACGTATCTGAAGATCTAAGCATTACTAATGTTTTGCAGACGCAGAAACTTGGTGAACAAAATCGGCAGGAAACTCGTTAATAGGCAAGAAACAAAGTTAAGAGCTTGATAAAAGACTCAAGATAGGAAAAGCAGGGGAGAGCCCTTACAAGAGTCGAAGAAACCAAACTGGGAGTGCGGACGCAGAGCGGGAGACGAGGCGGTTCGGTGATGCTTGTTGTTCGCGTTGGTCAACACGGACGTCACCTGGATCTCCGGGCCCACTGACACCGCCCGCGCTATCGCCTCTGTCGATGGCTGGTGTGGTCGCAGCACCTCCCGCAGGTTTTCAAAGGGATTGCAAGGGTTGGTACTTGCCGCATGCTACACACGCACACACACTACCCATTTCAAAGCAGATTCTTCCAAACCTGTAAGACTTAATGATCCCTTCTACTGCAAGACTTACACCAGAGTCAGTGTTAAGTAAATGGCTGCGCCGACAGGTCAACTCAATTAAAGTAATTTATGACAAGATCAAATAAACATCTTGCATGAAGCCAATTTTGAGGGAAGAACAAACAGCAAACTGACACTTACTAAAGGTAACCGTAAAATAAATCTTAATGGAGAAACTTGAAATGCCAGGAATCCTATTTAACTCCTTTCAAACATTGACCAGTTTAGTAGGACAAACTGGATCCAATGTTGAGAAGCATTTACGTAGCCAATTTAAAAAAGTACGTACTGTCAAAAGAGGGAAAGAAACAAACCTGAGAGGAGGATTTGGAGGTGGTAAGAGTACGGAGATCCTCGCCCTCCGCCTTCGGTTCCATTTGCGCTGCAGCGATGTCATCGTCGAGGTCACCATTACTATCATCATCACAGACGTAACTATTAGCGCCGCCGATGGTGGTGTGAGCCGGTGGAGGGCTCACCTCGCACGATATGGTCACTTTGTCTTTGCACAACCAATGACAGGTCATGTGGCAATCTGGAAAGTAGGAGGAATCAGGAATTACCCCTAAAGTTGAAGGGGACTGTGGAAGTAGATCGATAAATTGAAGTAACCGACGGAGTGGGTACGTCCGTACGATATTTTAATACCCGTCTAGTCATCCCTCCCGCAAAAATTAAGTTCAGCACTTCAATCATCATTTGACCACACGACGGGAAGTTTGGGATTGAAATACAGAAATTACTTAGCCACAAATAGTTAAAGATTATCTGCAAATTCGCATGTTTCAAAGGTCTTTCGGGTTAACGTTTAGAACTGAAACACACCATCTGTGGAGAGATACGTGAAAGATGCAGCAAATAACTTAACAAAATGGCTATCGAGAATCCAGTCTAGGTGTTGGTAAGGTCTACAATAATAATCAAAGTTGTCAGCTTGCTTTGTACAAAGTTGTGGTTATTTTTTATGGTTTTTCTAACAATTAAGTTAAAGTGGAACAACCGAGAGGATTTTATTTTACATGGCAGTAAAAATCAGCACTTAAGGTGTTTATTAAATGGGCTAGAGGTAAAAACTTCCTTCATTGATAAAACCTAATTTTGAGAACATCGTACCAGCACAGCGTTGGCACACGGGTCCCCAGCCAAGGCCCCAAATTGGTTGATTGCAATAATCACAGAAAGTGTCTAACTCCAAAGGAATGGCACAGAAAGCATGTCCACTCGTTTCTTGCCTTGCGTTATGTGGAAACACTTCTCCACTCCCACCCGATAGCTTATCGAGTCGAATGAATTCGGCTCGCACGATCTCTGGAGTTTCGGTGTAGGCGGAGAAACGCTGCACTCCATATTGCTGCGGAATGTCGGCACTTGACTCTGACAAAAGGCGTTCAGTCATCAGGATTTGGTAGCCAAATTCACTATCGGGTTTGGGCAGTCGAGGGAGAGTCATGTTTTGTCGTTGCAGCGACTCCTTTCTAGGAAGGACAGTTGATTGTGGGTGTCGGGAAAAATTGACAAAGGTGCGTCGCAGACCACCCAGCAAACCAATCCCACCACTACTTGAGCCTTTCTTAAATGTGCCATCGGATGTAAGATTTGCAAATATGTCCATTGGGAACTGCTAACATCAATCTGACAATAAAGGAATAAAACAACCACTCAAAACAATACTGTTCACGGATTAGCAATATATAAGTTTTCGTGAATTAATACGTTACAAAATTAGGGAATATAAGCACATTATTAATATATAGTAGGCAAAATGCACAGTACAAAAACCAAATGGACTAAAGCATTCAGCGGAACCAAACGCAACTGGATTTCCCTGGCTTTACCGAGAGTGAAGTTGTAGTAGTCTTAGGGGGTATTTACAAATAATAATAGACTCACAATAACATGAAATACAACGTCCCCAACAGCGCAACACAAAACATAGATAAGATAAGTTGCATGATGCACCTCAATGTGACCTAATTTCCTGGGTACATAATGCACTGAAACTACTATCAGCACCTTGAAGTAACAAAATGGAGGAAATGAGAGCACATGGGAGCAACACACCAACAGTCGGGCAACTCAAGCCGGGAAGCAAATGCATATAGGACTTCAAAAAACACCTCGGACGGGAGCCAATCAGACGTTGAGCTCCACAAGAAACCGTGTGTGAACCGACTGCCTTGGAGGATTCAATAATCCGGGCAGCTAAAATGCAGTTTTGATTTTGAAGAGTAAAAAAGTGAACCTTAAACTAACTGGTGGAACGGAGAAATTCCTGTCATATTTAAGCAACAAAACCACGTGGTCGGTCAGGAAATAATGTGGCTAGTTGTTACGAAAAGCAGTTCCCGGAGAATGTAATTTAGAGGCATCATTTTGTTAAGGAAAAGTTCAAAATTCATGAGGAGTGCATTAAGCTACTCAATAATAAAATACACTTAATAAGTGGAGTGCACAACAACATTCATAGAACAAGGTGTTGCAACATAATTGTTACTAGAACACCATCATTTTCTAAAAAAATTCATGTATTTTAATTAAAAAAGATCGAACTTTTAACTAGAGCAAGGCTGCAGGTGATTGAACATTCAAAAAGGGGAAGTACCGAAGTTGTCCTCATAACTCTTAAAAACGGAAAAAGGACTGCACACCCACTTCTCGCCCCCACTTTAGAATAAAGCAATTTAGCAATATGGCACAAACAGATACTTGCTCAATTTCTTCGATAGAACACTAACTGCCATTGTCACCTTCAGATTTGCGCCAATATTACAAACTTAAATGACAGCATCATTGGTGTTGAATATTCTGCGTCAAATACTCCATTATAGGAGAGTCAACTGTAATACTATAGTGGTTTATCCCTCGGCTCCGGTGAGGCGCTACTTTTGTACTTCGAATTGGCCCCCTTGTACCTCGCTGGGTGGGCTGGCCTTTTGGGCCATGCCAATAGCCCAGACACCTTTTCCTTGCTGAATATATATATTCTGCATGAGTATTTTGTCTTCTTTCGTCTTCAGGGAGTCCCAGGACGCTACATAACAATTTACCTTGGTAAATTGAATTAGTAAACACCGAACGAGGGGGTGGACTCTGAATGCAACAAGTATGGTCTTTTTAGTTCTGGATGGTTTGGTTTTATGATTTAGCATTTTGCGTTGCAGTATATTTAACCACTCGAAAACTTCAGAATCCACGAAGTGCATTTTTTACATTGCGGCACGGACTTCGTATCCTACCCATAACTTCTTACTCCTTTTTGTTTCCCTAACATGTATATTTCGGCAACCCTTAATGTCATTACAACCTTAGAAAAAGCTAGAAGTATCACTTAACAATTAAAAGTGAGGTAGACTCTCGAAAACGAGATAGGATAAACACAAGATATTTTTGACTCAATGCTTGCCATCTACTTTTCCAGTAGACTGTCGACTATTGTTAGACTCCACTTAAATAAGGTTAGTTAAATTAAATCTAATTTAATTTAAAATTAAAATTTAATTTTTAGTGAAACCCAGTCAGACTTTCATCTTCGATTGAAGGGTGCACGAGGTCCCAACTTAGTCAGGCCCAGATGCACTTTCTTAAAACTATAACAGCATATTTAATTGCATTATATATTTTGGCGTCAAACAACACTTATACATCTAGTTTAACTCATTTCTCAATTTTAACACATAAATTTTGTTCTAATGAACTACTCCGACCTAATTGACGCCGGTCCCTTAGATCTACCGACTGATGAACTTTGGGTGCTTCGTTGAGTTGTTTGCCCGCGGAAAGGGCGTATAAAAGCCCATCCGGACTTTTGTTTAACCTATGGCGTCCTATGTTTGTAAGTAGATAAAAGACGTAAAAATAAAGAGGGCAAAAATGAAGAATAGGATGTATGTGACTTTGTGGTATCAAGTGGCAGTTGAAGCGAGGAGCCCGCTTCGAAAGCGTCAACCCTCAATTAGTAGGCTTCTTATTTTGAGCAGTTAATTTAAGCTTTGGATATGCAGCTAACCTCGAAACACTTGTCGGAGTACTTGGATTACCAATGCGTTCTGTTAGCGGTTATGCTTCCCTTGTGATCACAGTATTCTTTCGCGTAGTGGTTGGTAATTTTGTCAAACCTCTCAGCAAACTAATAAACGCTACTAAACAACAAGCAATCCATAGTATGCTTGGTGGGATTGCCCTTATTTTCGGGTTCTTACAAGCTTGTCTTTTTGTTTAGGCTATTGATCGACAATTTGAAAGAATGAAGCTACAGTTGTTTTTTCAGACATCTACGTTCCTGACGTGAAATTTTAAGGATACGTCTTTTAGTTGAATTTATGTATTTGCTTCCCACTGTTGTGAAAATGGCGGAATTAACATAAATACGGTCATGTATTCGTTGTGAGAAATATAACGTTATTTTAACGGTGGGTACACCCCACTGCCTTAATGTTGGTGTTTTCCCAATGAAGTAAGTAGAACAAGGTTTTAATTACTGCTTCCCATTATGTAAATTGCTTAGCACAATCGCGATCCTGCGGGAGTGGTTATAAGCGAAATACTTTACAATACGCGGCAGACGGAGAAAGGAGCTGGCATTAACATTTCTAACTTCCTTGGGGTAGAAATTGACGCTAGTGGCCGTAGCGTCATTAGTCATCCAACTTTACATCATGCTGGAGTTCTAAGCCTACAGTGGCGCCAGCAGCCTGGCTGCCGAATATTAAGCTCTGTGCACGCAGTTTTTGCTTTTGGTGGTCGAAAAGTGCTTTGAAATGGTAGGGCAGAAGATTTCTCTTCGCCAAAAGCTGACGTGAAATGAATGTTCTCCTTAGTGCAAGTAAGGTTTCTGTAATTGGCCGAAAGTAAGGCAATATGTGCCATTTTACACCCTCAAAAGGTGAAAAATTCGTGCAACTTAATTTTTGGCCCCGTTTTTTTGCAATTAAGCACCAAAATAATGCGGTAAATAGTTTTCGGCACAGTGGGTATGCTATTTTTCTATGGCTGGGTTCTCATTAAAAGCAAAAATGAGAAGGGTGAGCCTGCTTCGTTGTGTTGGTGAGTATACTTTTACTATTTTAAAGCCTATCAAGGGCCTCTCCACATCTACCAGTGACACGTAATGTGATGCTGTAGGTAATAATGAACTTGATACACGGTGTCATCGCCATAGGTAAAGTCATGCCACTGATGTTTTTTTGAAAGCTGTTCGCAATACATAACAAATTCTTACACCAGTCGAGAAGGCCAGCTTCTTTTTTGCCCTTGCAAATAAACGGGCGGAAATTTTTGCACATTCCGATGCTTTACAATTGAATGGGTTTCTATTATCTAAATTGCCACTTGTTAATTTATTAACTACTACTTTACTCTTGATGGGGATGATTGTGCTATCGTATACCAATTATTTTATTTAGCTTGTTGAATTTGAGCTATTTATGAGGCCAAAAATGATATAAATTGAAATAGGCTCGTTTTTTATGTTTACCTCAGGGAGTCACCAATCTATGCCGAAAGTTTAGGATCTTACCAAAGTAATTCCAAGTTCAAATTAAAATTAAAAATGTCAATTCATCTGGCATCCAAACGACTGGACTTTGGGGCAATTAGGTCAAATAATGGGCTCAGAAGGTCTCTATATTTTTGACCATGCATTTGTCTTTCTTTTGGGTAGGTTCCAAAGAACTTGGCTTAAAAATCAATGCTGATGAGACTGTGACACTTGTCAGTCCCAGCGGTTCCGGAAAAAACACTTTTGTTCAGCTTTTGTCACGCCATTACGATCCCGTCAATTAGGGCATAAATATTTTCTACACTTTATGCGGTGGCAGCATGTCGCGATCTATCAGTGTCTTAGACATTGACTATACAAGTTACGACCTTTATCGCCGAAGGATATAACGGAGAGGATTACACTTTGTCTAAAAAGATTAACAATACAAGATAAACTAATTTTTACACTTCATTTCACTATAGACGGAAATGATATTCGTGATTTAGGTTTGCATTGGCCACGACAGCTAACGGGAGTGGTGTCCTAAGAACCGACACCTTTCTCGGAAACTGTTGATCCGAATAGAGGTGTTGGCCTCTCTGACGTACCTTATAGTGCGGTGCCTGAGATGAAGATGCTTGGAAATACCCACAAATTTATTTACAAAATTCCTAAGGTGGGTCAACGCTTACCGATTTTATCCTGTGGCACAGTATGTTCCCACACTATGCTCTAACTTGCTCATCACCTCACACCACCCAGTGGCTCCCCTCCATGCACCATCAATTATTTTGCGCACACTATTTCTGACGTGGTTTCAGACTTGTGTTTGGAATTTCATGATCATCCCAATATCTCAAGGCATCGGTTTATAGCTTTGTCCTTGAGCTATTTATGGAATTACTGGCTTTCGACATCATACCGCAAATGTCAAATAGCTTGACCATAAGCTAAGGCTTTGGAGAAATACCACTTCTGGTAAATTGGCTAGCGATTAAGTAATTAGGGATTTGGTTTTAATGTCATACTGTAATGCGATATCCCACCCCATTGTTTCCAGGACAATTCAATCGGTACGCTGACTATTTACTGAAAGCACCTTTTGTAAGTGCGTTTGGTAACAGGTTACAGTGAGTTCAAGGGAATCCTGCAGTATTTTTACTCATTTTTATGAGGCAAAGGTAGGCGAAAAACGTGTGGATGTAGTCTAGTTGGTACGCTGCGTGTTCTCTTACAGGGATGGGAGACGCGGCTGTGCGGAGGTCAGAGCAAGCATTTTGAGTAAACAGAGGCAGGTAGTGGCGATAGGGCTGTCGCCGATTTGCAAGCTGAAGTTTCTGCTGCTGGACAAGACTACTTCTATGCCGGATGCGTACTTGGAGAGCATGGTGCAGGCAGCCATCGAGAAGGCGCGTAGTACCTTGCCATCGTCATGATCGCGCATCGACTCAAGTCCGTGGACAGTGGAAAGGTCAAAGCAATGGGCACTAACGAAAAGCTTTTCAAATGAAAGGTCTCTCTATCCAAGTGGTTGCAACAGGTGTAAGCATCTGGCCAGAACTCTCCACCTAAATTTTGTAACATATATCAATGTGAAACAAAGAAGGCTAACGTGGGACTGTTTGTGTCGTGGTGAGTACAACTCAAACAATTAAGCGTGTTAAATGCCGGATGTGTTTGTCAATTTTCATATTAAAGGCACTAAGTGAAGTCTGCATCCCGGAATAGAAGTGGAAGGTTCACATAAAGCTTTGGAAACTTGAGCAATAAACTGTGAGATTTTAGTGTTAAGGTAGGTAAGCCCTCGTGAAATAATTGCTAGTAGTGATATTGTAAAAGGGAGAAACCACTGATGAATGTTACGAGAGGTTGTGAGTTCGGGCTTTCATCTTGTTGATCTCGCAACCAGAATAAGCAATAGTCAAATACTTTAATACGGGTGTCTTTATCTGCCTAAGGTCATGGGTGACCGAAGGATTGCGGCTAGACAGCGAAAACTGTCGGAGATGCATGGGAATTTCAGTGTTGCGTATTTATAGTCCTTGATCTACCTCGACCTCACTGCATTAGTACACTTAAGTCGGCAGTGATCGGAACCATGGCGTTCTAGAATGTTTTATATTAGCCAAGAGAGTAAAACCTATTAGAAAGTCGAAGCAAGAATGCTTTTTTTCTGGAGTAGTAGGTGTTCCGCAAGGAAGAAAATAATCTTAGACATGATCAACTTAAGAATTGTGCCTTTTATCCTACAGACATTAATAAATATTTAATTAAACGTGGTGGGCAATGGTAAAATCAGTCTTATAACTGGTCCTATGTCCATTTTTTCTGCATATACTTGTTCGTTCAACAGTTACAGGTATGTAAATGTGAAATTCCGATTATTTGACAAAAATACTGCTTTAGTGAAAGATTGGGTAGATTTTTTCCTACAAACAGGGTCAGCTCTCTGGAAGGTGATCAGTTCTCTTTAGAGCTTCAGGGAGTGTTGGTCTCCGACTTAGCCGCTAAGGGCCTGGATTACGCGCCCAGCTTCCTGTCAGATCTCAACAGTGCAAAGAACCGCTGCCGCATCATAGATCTACAAACCAACCTCGATATGCATCAGGGCGTAATTCCCAAAGGTCCGCTGAAGAAAAATATTCAATTTCGCAATATTGACGCCGCTTACCCCATACAGAAGACTGCAACAGCATATGATTAAGATCGGTATGTCATTTTTAAAACCAGCCATGTGTGGTCTGTTAATAGGTAACCAAGTGTAATACAGATTTCGTCAAAGGGAGACTAGTGAAAATGAAAATGCACCAGCAAAATTTACGTGGAATCCCTGTTTCAGGGATTTAATGGTAAATTCAAGAATGTGTCAAATGTGACTTTTGTGGATGAGTTCACCTGGTGGATGGAAAAGACGTGCGAAATATGCAAGCGGCGTGGTGGAGACAAAATATTGGCGTGGTAACGCGGGCACTGAATGGTAACAACATCCTCGCTGCTGCTAGAGACGCCAACATTCATGACTTCATAATCTCAATGCCACAGGTAATCCTTGGGCCTTCCTCTCATCGTTATCAAACTGGGCTATTGTTAAAGTACCTCAGTTCTTTTAAGCTATCCCACCAACGCAATTACCCCTTGCGTGTCCTTTAGCCCCCTGATCACTTAGGCAGAAATGCACAAAAGCATCAGCGGGTGTTTAAATGACAGACGACTTGGAAATCGCTACTTTTCATGTACTCAGGGTTATTTTTATGGCACATTTATATCCCATTCGTAAAGTGCGCTTTCTTTATGCAAAGAACAAATTGTTTGACATACACAGTATTATAATCTGTGTAAACGGCAAGTCGAAGGTAATCCACGGTTGGCGTGCCATTAAGAAGGTTGAAGTGGTTGAAACAAAACGGATAACTGTTCACTTTTAAGCAAATTTCTACAATACAAGCGTCTTTCCATCGTAATACCTCTCAAAAGCAAAATAAAGTTCCTGCATCTATCAACTGGCACTCCTGATTCCCCATTACCTGCGTCCACCCAACATGCCTCCGTGAATAGTTATTTTTCAGGTTTTAGAATACATTTTAGCGTTCAGAAGTCCCTCACAACCAAATTTTCAGTCAGAATGGTGCATTTATAAAGGGTCTTCTGAAATGCACCACGGATTTTTGTTAGTATTAAAGAGTAAGCTAGCGTGAGTCGAAATGAATTTTTAAAGTTGGCAAGAGTTGATAATAGGTTGTGAAGTCTTCACATTATTTATGACGAGTTATCGACACTTCTACGGTATATTCTATGAAAGTGGAAAAACTGAAGACTTGTTTTGCTGTTGAGTTCGGGAAGTCCAAAGACGAGAGCGTTGGATTCCGAGGGAGTCAGCGAGTGGCGATAGCAGAGAGGTAGGCGAAATGGCCAGCAGTGCTGCTGCCGGTTGAGGTGGAAGTGGATGTGGATTCGGAGCTGGTGGTATAGGCGGCGATAGCAGACTCGTGTTGCTGTATTAGGGTGTTTGCAGCTGAGCCCGTCACTCAGAAGGAGTTGATGACTCCTCGCAAACATTACTGCACTCTCCACAACAGGTCCACCGAGACCATACAAATTGCCCCGCTCTCCTCTTCGAATACGCCCACTTGAATCACATCAGCGACCACCTCCTACTGCTCACTTCGTCTTTATCATTGAAATATTCTTAGAGGCATTATAAAATGCCTCACTTTTGATTTCTAAAATTGGTCTATATTTGACAAATTGTTTAGCCAGGCTGTGGGAGAATTTTTATGTTAATTTTGCAGTGCAGGACAACCTTTTGCATTTAAACAGAATATAATGGTGTATGCTTTATGATAACACTATCAATTTTAAATTATTCTAAACATTTCGAAAGTGAAGAAAATAAAGGTCTTTTAGAATTAAAACTCATCATGTAGTCTTTTTATGTCTGAGAAATTGAATAATCTACACGGAGCATATTTTATTTTAGGGGGTTCGCAGGGTATTTCAAAAAAGCTGAAAGAGGCAGCGCCACCCCTTGTATCACTGGATTTGTTGCACCCCAATGTGGACATGAATACCATTGAATCATATTTCTGAGCATGAATGTCAACTTGAATTTAGTGGGTTATTTTGAGCTCTATGTCAGTGATTACCCGGAGGTGAGGGTCGTGCAAGTTCGACCTTCGGCGACAGCATCTGGAAGCATTAGAGTGCACAAGACAGGAAAATGATAGCGACAGCCAGAGCAGAATGTCAGCGGTTCTACATGGTTTAGACTCATGTCAATGTAACACTTTAAGTGAATAGGATTTGTTAATTGTTTTTGAAGGAGGCAGACATTTAACGAATATTTTCGACGTAAGGGAACGTTATTGTTTCAATTAACTGCTGTCGAGAACTAAAAGAAGGTAGTGGTGGTAAACTAGACGCCAAAGAGTTGCTCAAGTAGATCTTAATATTACCGCGTCATGGTGCAGAATGGGTTGCGCCTTACGGAATGCATACAGGAACGCTAAAACAATGCAACTGAAGGGTTAAGCTGCCAGATAGTATCGATAATGATGACTTGCCTGTGTGATTTCTTGAATTTCTGGGAGATTTCTTATCATCACCTTGATTCAAACCGCAGTTTTCAACCTTTTCAGCATTCCTCTAGCAATAAGCCAGCAGAATGTGAAGCACCCCCTGCTTCGTATACTTGTAGGTTATGGTTAAAAAACGCAGAGTAAAACCTTTTGTCACGAATCATTTATGGTTTTGGTTGTGGAAGTGCAGTTTGGAGCCTCCAATTCCATAGAAACATGTTAACAAACCATGTCTAGCGATCAACAATCGCCGTCAAAATATCAGCGATGACATTAGGCTTACAGTTAAGAAGTACGTTAAAATGAACTCAGACTAACTCCGATCTTGAAATTCTTCATCATTCACGATGCTGTGAGTAGATGCTCTCCTAATTTGAACCTATTTTAAAGATGTCTTTAAAACTAATGCTTTATCAATGCATCACTTGCCTAAGGCTTGTACCACAAGGACTTGAATGACAATATTCGTTAGTTGTGTAGAACAAAACAACGAAGAAATGGAACTTTTCTGACTAACAATGAAAACCCAACTCTAGATCCTGCAAACGCCCGCGTAATTAAGAAAAAATTACGCCTTTTGGGTGCAGCAGAGACTGTGCTTCACCCACATTGTGATTACGCATCTGAGCAGCCTCTTGTATTTACTCGGAAGCTACTAAGTATGCCAATGCATTTAGTTCTCGATAAAAGAATTTCCATGAAATCAAATGACTCAGACAACCTTATCAGGAAGTCTGGGGAAACCTAGCCGCATCACCAAGACATATGGACATTTCTCAATTATCACAGCACCTTAGCAAAAAACACCAGTCCCAAAAGACGCGCCCCAATCAATTGTATCTTTACATCAATTTTAAACAAATACCATTTGTTGTTTCGGAAACTCTGATATTTACCATCAAAGCATAAATATTGTGCAATAAAAGTGCAACACATTGGCTGTTTGGTCAACTCCAGGTTTTTGTGAAGGTGCCACTTGGGTGCTTCGCCATTGTACCCTTTCCGGGTGGCCTGGCCTCTGGGCCATGCCAATAGCTCCAAGCCATGCTGTATGTCAACAATACATATTCTGCCCAAGTTTTACGTTTTCTGTCGTCTTTAGGGAAGTCTCAGGACGCTACAAAAGAGTAAGGACCTCGAGATCTCAAATTCAGATATGTAGCATCAACAGTTTATTCGAAAAGGCCAGAGCTTACTGGGATTCTTGATGCAGTTTGAATTAAAGTTTTGCTCGAAAATCTCACTAAAGCAAATTGTCCCCCGCGGGACCCAAGCTTATTATGTCACGAAGCAATAACCGACCAAAATGCAAAGAAGGTCGCTGAAACGAGCCTCATTGATACTGCTGAACTCTTAAAAGTGGTTCATAGTGAAAGAACAAATTTAACCAAAAAAAAGTTTAGAAATATCCATGTGATCAATTAGCAGATGATATAGCTAAATAGAAAAGGCAGTTTAATTTAATAAATTAAAATAGATTTGCTGGGAAACCAGACATTTCAAAATTGTTAATATAACTTTAAATGACATTAAAAGTCGGTAGTGCATATAAAATAATTTCTCTGAAATCTGGAGTCAATAATAAAGTGTGACGATGTTTTGCGACAGGAAGATTTCATTCTTAGCAGATTTTGCTCTCACCCTGTGGCAAGAGCTTAGATCACGCTAGTGGCCTCCTAACTCTTCTGTACGCCAGAATGTAAGATCCTTGTCACCACTTTGAGGAAGACATTAAGCCAGCATATAAAAAGGAGTTAAAAGGAGTAAACGCAAGAAGCAGAAGCATTTGATTTTAATTACAACGATAAAAATGCGAACTTAATAAAGATTGCAAATGGAATGTTAACGGACCCAGAATAAGTGATCCCTTCTGGAGCAGAAACAGTCGATTTTAAGATCCAGGAGGTGAGAAAATGAGACAGCTTTTTGGAAAACTCTTACTATGCACGACAAAACGAATACATTATAATACTTTGACGGCTTGTTTAACAGTGCGTTTTGATCACACGGGCACTTTAGGCTCCGCCACTTTGCTTCTACTAAGTACCATGGCCCATGGGTCATGTTGGTAGCTGTACCGCTCCGAGACTTCCCTGTACACGAAAGATGACATAATACTCGGGCAGAATATCTGTATTCGAAACATAGAAGGTATTTGGACTACTGACATGGCCCGAAGGCGAGGCCACCCGGCGTGGTACAAAGGCCAAGCCAAACGTGGCTCCTCACCGAAACCAAGAGTTAAGCAACCACCGTATTACGTAACACTCAAGCAATACATATGTGTGTTCAAAGTACGGGAGGTGTTGGGACTACTGGTATGGCTCAAAGGCCAGCCACTAGGCGAAGGTATAGTGGCCAAGCCACAAACTGGCTCTTCACCAAAACTGAGAGTTGAAACCGACGTATTACAATAGCCTCTGAGCAACTCTGCACGTTAAATACATATATTCTGCCCCAGAACTTTGAATTTTTTTTTGACTTCTGGAAAAAACCGATGTGCCAAGACTTAAATTTTGGAAACAAGGAAGGTGAATTTTGCATAATTTAAGTAGTCCTTTAAAGCTAAATTCAATGATGAAACCTTCTACAAAGGTGGCCTTCTGATTAAGTGGCACAAATTAGTGAGATTGTTGCCCCTCGATTTTTCCTTGAAGTCAGAAGAAGCCACAATACCAGGAGAAAGAATGTAAGTGAAATGCAAAAGGGCTGGAGGGCTACTAGCATAAACCAGGGACCATTCGAACCGGTGGAAATATAATGAAGGAAGAGATTAAAAAATCAATTAAAGTACTGCAAAATTACGCATATGTCAAATTATTGGCACTTAAATATTTTGCAGCTCTTTTTAAAGTTTTACTGCACACGCATTTTAGTTTTATAAATCAAGACTGCCAGTTAAATAGTTGTTTTGGTATACAAGGCTCAAATTATGCGCTAGATTTGGTCAACGCGCAAAAAAAAATTTGAGATAGAATCCCAAACCTATATTAAATTGCGTGTTTTTAGCATCTAAGGGTTAAAAATTAGCATCTTTTTTCTTTCTATAATGGTCTTTGTCGTTTTGTTCGTGTTGTTTTATAAGGTCTGGCGTCAGCGGGATTTTGAATAGGTGGGCTGGTTGGTTATTACCTCACTTTGCTGGGTATGGAAGACGAGGAAAATACACCTTTTGCCACCAGAACTCCGCAAGATTTTCCAGAAATGAGCAAACCCACAATGGTTTCGAAAGGGCTTTCGCAATACTTGGCTGTTGCAAATCAGGCAGATACTTTGTGTGATTCCGGAATCAATGTAAATCGCATTTCCGCTTCTAATTGTTTAATTTTTTCCCCTATACATGCACTGTTTGTTATAAAAAATAATTTAATTTTACAAAACGCTTCAGTTTGATAATTTTTTTTGCTTTAAATGTGGGCAAACAATTTTGTTTAGAAGCGTATAAGGGGTAACTTTTAGTCGCGACGTGCTACTTGCTTTATTGTGATGGTACCGCAAACCGCTTCCAAAGTAATAAAATATTAGCCTTATTTTAGCCTCCTGCTTGAGGTCTGGTATTTTAAAATTACCAAAAAGTGATTTTTTTGTCTTTTTTGAGTATTCTTATCCTTAAGGCTATTTAAGGAACTTGTCATTTGCATTAGCAAGTAGTTTTTGAAACGCCGCAAACTTTGGCTCATTTTTATGCATTTTAAATGTATAGGTCTTTGTGACACCTAGCCATTTGACAAAATGTAAATAGTGTTACCATCAGTGATACGTTCCCGTGTGATATTTCTACCATAGGTATAACATATTCGTTTTATATTTTCAACCGCATTGCGCAGTCGAATAAAGCCGAAAGATTTTACATCATTTGAAATTTTGGCCAACGTCTTAGATTTGTCGACACGCTTATTTTATTTTAGTCGTTGAATTCAAAAGGAACTTTTGCGGCTTCGGCCAGACATTCTTTTCAAACTGACTTCCTGTCAGCACAAAGAGTTGACAAAGAACCTCTGCCCAGGCAATTGGAAAGCATTGACAAAAACTTGACTGAAAGTATTAAGGCATACCTGTCCTCAAATGTCATTCCAAAAATTAACACATCAAATCATTTGGAGGTTCGAGATAGGAATGAATTCATCAACTTTGCGAATTGCTTAATAGGCGGTTTAAGGTATGTGTATGCATAATTTAACGTTCTATAGAATTTTTACTTGTCACGAGCTCTGTTTATGATCCTTATATGCGTTTTGCTTTTGCTTGTTCCAGCAACGCATAATAGTAGAACATCTAATGAGTGCAAATGTTAACTTAGAATATCTCTCTTCTGACTCGTATCCCAACTATTAGTAAAGTTATTATCAACTATGGCCCCTGACAAATTAGTATTTAAACTTATTTAGATCCTTAAAAATTGCTTTTTAGAAACTGCATGACTGTCGCCCGGGAATTTTCATTTGAAGATACTAATTATGATCAGATGGTATGGTGCACCTTTAATCAAATCGGTTTCGCTTGGCCAACACTTTACAGTACTAGCCAACCCTGTTAATTTATGTATAGTTTTTGAAATAATGAGGCGTCATCATTCATCTTATTGTAGAAAATAAGGCATGCAACCCTTAAATGGAAAATTGAAACTGTAAGTACCGATATCAAAGGATGATTTTCCACTTTTTTTTTGACTTAGATTAATACTTAGTGGAATCTTAAATACGATTTTTTGTAGCCTTAGAGTACATAATTTAAATATGCGATGTAAATTGAGTTAGATTATACGATAATAGGCTAAATGACCATCTAAGATTCTCTTGTACTTACCGGACCCCAGAGTGTCTAAATGTATCCAATGTGTACAATTATGTATCGATGGAAAACCAAATTCTATACCTTGGTCACAAAAATTTCACATACGAAGCGAATAGCAGTTGGTTTTGTATTTGCTAATGTACCGACTTCATTTTCGAGTAACGGGCCTTTTTGAATTATGAAATGTGCGAGGGAAGCATGCAAAATCCACATGATGGGGTGTAATCTGAGGTCCTAAAGTTATTCTGGTAGATGCGAATGGAGTCTTGTGTGACTGCAGTGATTGCGTTGCTTTAGTCATGCTCTCAGTTGCCTGTTCGCGTTCAAACTTTTTTCTTTTAGGTAAGCAGGCTATTGCAGGAATACGAAGAGACTCTCAAGAAAGTCGGAGGCAAGTCTTGAGCGTTGTTGACCTCCTTTTCATTTGCAATCCATTCCATTACTTGTTTGCAATTCACATTACAAAAAACATCCCATTTTTCATAAACTACACAGTGCATCACAAAATAGGATGCATGGGAAAACAGTCCATTTAGTGTTTTTACCTTCAAAAGTACCTTTTACACGTGAAAAGGAAGACCTGGACTACGATTTATGTGATAAAAAGAATAGGGAAGGTGCGAATAACTGGAATTAATAGATGTTGCTCCATGAGGTACTGCGATTGAATTGAAAAGTCATGGGATGTAAACGTGGTCAAAAGGAAAAATCGCATTCATTGGTAATGTATATTAAAACCTAGAAGTCTGGACAATCTGCAGATTGTTTGAAGTTCTTTTGCTGTTGACCGCTTGTTTAAATCTACTTGAAGAATTGACTAAATTTGAGTTTAGTTGCTTGATGACTTCCTCACATCTTCTACAAGAGATAGCGAATACGGACAGACGGAGAAATCTTATTAGAGGATAACTTCGTGTAAACCACACCAGTTTTCTTCAAACCCTAAAAAGATAATTTTTCTTCTGTCAAGTAATCCACGCTCCACGAACTCCAATTGGTTCAAAGTCCGCCATCGGTTTCTTAGAAAAGCTACTTAAACTGTTGTGTGAAACTCGTTTTGAGAATACGTATTTACTCCTTTACTTAACTAGTAAGCGCAGGCTTAAAATTTTCCTGAGCAGGAATTGCAGTGGAGATGGCATTGCATAACTCCCTGTCAGATAACTAAATCCGTGTAGAACAGATTTTCGACACCTTCACGAGGCCTTGTGGTGCGTTGTCATGGTTAACACAGACCACGCACCTAAGTTGCTGTAAAATTTTTCTTTCAAAAAATTACTACATAGACATTATTTTATGTTTGCTCTTAAAGCAATTAAAATGGGCCGGCAGTGTGCAGTGACCTGAATAGAAATTCCAAAACTTTGTACACCCATGGTGAAAAACCTATTTTCTCCAGGCATTTATCTGAAAATGACAGAAAATTTCAATTTAAAAATCCGACAGATGTGAATTACAAGACTTGGAAATACTTCAGTATTTGGTGAAATGAGTGCATTAGGTAATTTCAAGTCATGTGTTTATATAGATAGTGTACGGGGTTAAATTTGGGACTCGCAATCAAATCATACTTGTGTTTGTTTTACAATTGAAGGGCAGAATGCCTCAGTTCCACGAGCAAAGACGGTCCCGCCGTTTGCAATTCTGAAGAAGCATTCTTATTCGCTCAACGTGTTGCCTCGCAAAGGGATGAGTGGGGAAATACCTGCGCCCCAGTCGCCGCTGCTCCCAGCGTCTTTGGTCGGGAGTTCGCGTCTACGTGAGATCGAGGGCCAAATCCGTGACCTCGCTGGTGCCCTTCATCTGCGTCTCAAGACGAAACAAGACGGTCTGCGGTTGGCCTCCCTTTCCGCCAATTATAAAGTCAAAGTCAGCATCGTCCCACACGAAACTGACAAAGCGAGTCTGTCGAACTTTTCCGGGTGGCCTTCTTTGATGGAAATGACAAGGAAGCAGTTCCTTTCGAATATGCCGTTACATGAGTGGCTCTTTAATCTTCAGTTCAAATCCATGCCCAACTCAACAGTTGGACCGGACGGCTTAACTCAAGCCTGTTCTAACTCTGAAATATGGCATTTCTCTTCCACCGAATGCGTTTTGCCTGTGGAGCCTGGGACTGCTCTCGTGGCTGGCGTAAATCGATCTAGTATTTTAATAGTGCTTACTACTTACTTAGAGAATGAAGAGTTATTTGGTAGGAAATAATTATTTCAAAACTTGGTCATAATTTAAATGGAAGCAAGACCTTGCCGTGTCGCACTTTGGATGCATTAGTTACGTAAGCGTTGTGAACAAAACTTTGAGTGTTGTAATTTGGAAGGTAAATGCAACAAGCGTATTTTTTGCTCCTCGTTCGGAATTTTTGATACATGATCAGTAAGCGTCGCCACAATCGACAATGAGTAGGTAAGAGTCACAGATGCCACATATTGAGGGATCAAACAATAGTCCGCTTTGACGAGATCAGCGGGTTGATGAAGAAAATGCACAATCATCACCGCAGATTCCCTTATCCTTATCTGACTTTTCAGAGGCGTACCCCTCTCAGGTATCAGTAGATATAGTTGCATCCGAATTGAGAAGACCTGTTTGGTTTAACATGGTGAGGCGCGCAGAATGGCACACAAGCGCATGGCGCGGTTTTCTGCGCGTGTATCGAATTTTGAGACGAGCGCTTCGGGCTTGGAACAACTCCAATCTGCAAATGCATATTCACTGCCCTAGTGACAACTGCCTTACTTCCTTCCATTCTGTTTGTCGTGTAAAAGCACCATGGCAGGTGAATTAGATAGTCGTGTAATGCAATTGAGAGACCATAAACTCATAGCATTCTGATAGAATTTACCTAAGAGATGCAAATTTTATTTCTTTCTTAAAGGTTGCTTCATCGAAGAAAAGCCAAAAAGTTTTCAAGCTAGCACATTTTTTAACAACGGAGCCTCGATTAATCACCATTGAACTCACTGTCCTGACATCACCCTACATTGAAGTCGACGTCAAATGGCTGTAAGTTTTATTTACCTTGAGAAAACTGCATGCGAGTCTGCGTGACGCAATTACTGTCTTCGGGTGCTTTGTGTCTTCTTTATATGTTGATATAGCCAATGCTGTTGATACGCGAAACGGTTCCCTAATATGGTACTCTACTTATTAAACATCAGTTCCTACACACAGGGCAGTTGTGCGATTACATTAAATAAGCTTAGAGACGTTTGTTTCATTGAAGCAATTTATGCGTTGCACACGACAAATTCATATTATATGGACAACACAGGAGTTATAGCTCATTACTTTAGGGTGTAGCTGTCAATATTTCAAGAGTCATATATTAAACAATCTCACATGCATAAACGGGAAAATTTTGTCGCAACTTTATCGACAAATGAGCCTCTTTTCTAAGCCTAAGTGTGAATTTGATATTTGCCCACCAAAGCGAAGGTACTTGCCTGGGTCACTCTTTTTCGCGTGCATGCAAAACCGGCTGGGAGATATTACCAATGGGAGCAGATTTATCATCTACGAAGTTTAAATACACTGCTGTTGATTGTCACCAGAAATAGTTACTGAAGGAAAGGGAAATACGAAAAGACTAGCGTCTATGTAGGTAACTTCCTGCCTAACTTCAAGGACGACAGTGACCGAAGGTTCCTATGGGCATTGGGAAAACAAGCTGATATAAGCATAAATAAGACAGTTAATTGCTCCCACATTGAAATAAAGAAATTTCTTCTCTTCAACTTTCCAGACCTTTAACGCAAGTGGACCTGTTAATGCTGGAGAAGTATCCAGTCTCGCAAGGCCTCATTGAAGATTGGGCTTCCGTAAGCAACATGGAGGAGAGTTCACCGGAACTGGGCTGTGCGCCGATGGTAAGGGACCGGCAAAGCCAAGAATCCCCCAGTCGTAGGGAGGAGGCGCATGACCTCGATGGCGGCTCCGATTCGATGTGCTCAGCGAGTAACGATCCCACACCCCCTATCTCTCCCGTGAGCTCCGTCGCCCATCCGGATTGTCGGAAGCCTCTCCGAGCCGAGCACAACATTTCCTTCACGCGGACGCCTTACCAAACAGATTCTGACAACTTTAGCCTCCAACAACACACCGTGAGTGGTTTAATTTCCAAAGTCCTTTGCAGCGCTTATTAAAAAGATCACTTCCACATTTCCCAATACGTATATCGTGGCAAAATTGTGCCACTCCATTTCGCTAAATGTAATGTATATTCCTCTGGTTACGCTGACGATCAATCACTGCTGCAGGTTTTGGAAGAGGCAATGCTAGTTTTTCTACGTGGGCAGCCACACCTTGGCGCATTGTTAGAGTCCCACCACTTTTCAGAGGTTAGGCTCGAAATATTTCATTTCTTATTATATGAATCTTTTGTTTTTATTAGAGCGACTGTTTAAGGATTTGTTAATGAAATCTAGACTGCTTCGTGCTTTTTAGGGCAAAAAGTAACTAAAGATTCTGAAATCTGGAAAATTCTTAAGAAAAAAGTATAAAAACATCATTTGGTTATTATAGTTATGCAATGCTTCGCTTGGAAAAAGCAGCGTTTTTTGTTGCCTTGATCTTCGCAAATGAAGAAGCAAGGAAAGTTTAGGGGCCACAGTTTGTGCTGTGAGCTTTTTGCTACTGGTGATGAAGAAACGCCCTTACTTTTAATGCACTCGCATTAAATTCGGCTTTAATTTTTACAAGAAAACGATGGAGATAAGTGCTAACAATGTTACGATATTGTATTCAATGACAATTGGTAGACAATTATTTTGGAGCCCCATTTTGAGTAAAGTTCCGATGAAATTATGATCGAAGCAACATATCTTTAATTCCCATAGATGGATGATGAACAGGATGAGGGGGATTTTGATCGCTCGAAGGATAGTGAGGGTGAAAACGACAGTGGGAATACGATTCCACTGGAATCCCTAATGGACTCGGTTCAAAATGAAGTTGAGGCCATTAATCGAGAGCCAAATCGCTACCACGTATTACTTTACGTAAGAAGTGAACTTCAAAAACTCCTTTGTCTCATCACCATTATCAGTTAACTAATTCAAACGAAACCCTCAGGAACTTTCTGGAGTTATCCAAGGCCTTCGGGAGCAGTTATCGTCGTCCTCGAAGCTCACAACAAATTCTTCGGAACGTACAATTTCTCCAAGGCCTGTGGAATACGATCTTAAAAAAAGTCTTTCAATGCTGGATTCCGTAGTTGGTGACTCCTTTGCGGAATTCGTGCCGGATGTGGAGGCGTGTACACCGCCACTTACTTCTGGTTGGGAACAGCTAGACTCAGTGATCGTGTGGCATCTACGGCATGTCTCTCACCTCATTCAGCATCTGGCGTCCTCAGACAGATTTTACATCTCTTCACCAGATACAGATAGTAACAGTGACAATAGTTTACTGTGCATTAATGAAGACCTTCTAGCCATGGCTCTGGACGCCCAGGTATACACCTTTCTATGCATCTCGTCCATTGATAACTTCGGTAAACATGGGTTTTCTTATTCGGATTCCCACCAGCGTTTAAACGATACTACACGATTTTCACATATTATGTTTATGACTAAATGACATTCATAATCGAGTTTAGTTTCCTGGATGAAATCATGGTTTGAAGAATGGTGACCCTAAATATCTGCTTTTGGTTTCATTATAACAAGTTGAAAGAGCTAAAAATAACATAAGTAAAATCCTCAAATCATACCCAATGAAGCTCTTATTATGTTTCAAACAATGCGCAAATTTAGATATCATCGCATGGCACAGCTAAAACTTTGGACTGAATGGGTCGCTAAAACTATATAAAAGCTATTTCGTCAACCACAGTTACCATTTTAAAGTAAGATGGCCATTACAGGCGGAAAGTGGTCATTTTCACGCAAGGTACTTAGATCTCTTCTGACCCACAGCCCTCACTTTTGTGTTGTCTCGAGGGCGGTGGCCTTAAATTAGTCTTGACTAAATTAGTCTGTTTCCCTATATGAGGGTAATCTTTCATTTTACAATGTTTCTCCCTTTCAAAAGTACAGCATTACTCTCCTACAGTTCTTTAAGGAGCTGCAGCGCTTTGTACCTCATAACAACTAATGATACATCACAGTGCCAAATGGCGTTTTAAGCTGCCAGTACGCCCCACTTCATGAGCGAGAGTTATTTTTGAAACACCAATACTATGGTCCTTCAAAAAACAATCGTCAAACACGAACTTTCTTAGGCAAATAATATGTTGTTCTTCATCGGTCTCAGATATTTCTTCTCTCGATAACATGTAGATTTCGGTTAAGCAAAGCCACCAAAAATGTGCATCTGCCACATGTCTCGTATAAAAACGATTTTTTTCGCTATATTAAAAACTATGAAGGCCAAATAAGTATACACAATGGTAAACTTTTCGTTAAATTTAAACAGACATTTTTAAAATCCTGAAGATGTAAGAAAAATAACTCAAGGCAACCATTCGGATACGTCTGGTTTGGATGCTAGTTCGTGAAGCTTGGTAAATCGTTCTAATGAAGGTTTATACGTATTCTCTAGTCGGAAATACTCTCAGACATTACCGGTATCGTCCTGAACTATGGGGAGGAGAAGGATCCTTTCAAGGTCTTCACAAATTCTCACTGTCTGGGCTACTGTGGCACCGACCATCGAGCGCCTCTCTTCCCCGCCACCTTCTGGTCGCGCTTCGTCTGGCACACGTCCTCCATCTCCGGCTCCTCTGGCCTCAACAGGGCCACCCGACTCACCCTAATGATCCAACGCACCAGCCTAAATGAATTTCTTTCCCAGGAATATGGCGCTCTCGACACTGACGACGAAGATAAACAATTTCTTGAGAGTGGTAATTATATTGCCTCGAGTTCTCCCCCTGTTTACCCAAAAAATACTTGAACAATTAATATGAATTCACAAAGGCCCTGGAGAAGCAAAATTGGTTCAGACGGTTGCAAATTCGATTTCCTTATGTAGTCTCTTGACTTGGTATTTCGAACTTTTTATTAAATGATGGCACAGATATTTGTACGACTTCTAAAGTCTCTTACCACTACATTTCATGGCGATCCGATTCTTAGAATGGTTGAAGGCTTTTTTGTGTTTTTTCTTAATTTATTCCTGCAATTTAAGCTATTTATCTCCCCTCTTTCCCCACTTAATGGGCTAATCAAGTTTATTGACAAGGGAGGCACCGCTTTGTCATTTGTTCATTTGCCATACCTTCTAAAACATTTTTTCTCCTCTGTAAATAAATGCAACTTTTGGGCGCAACGTCTTTGAGATTTTTGTCTTTTTGACTTTCTTGTGATCACGTACCACTTTCATACCCGTTGGAGCAAGGGTAGTAGAATCGTGAGTGTTTTGCTATGGCACACTGTAAAGCTTACAAATCTTGTAACACTGGTAACACGTTTATGGCTGCCAGTTGGATTGGCGACGCAGCATTCATTCGCTTTTGCCTTCGATCAACGCAGTATTTTCTGCTGGCAAATCCATCCCCCAGCGGAGGTGCGGTTGATGCGCTGCATTATTTACGAGCTCACGTGCAACGCTGTCTTCGGCAAAATGATTTGTGTGGGCTGATCTTTGCGTCAGCATGACTGTAGCAAAATGAGTAAGATAAACTTCTACATAATTCTCATTTAAAAATCTTACATCAATCATGCGATTTTTGAGCAGTTGTCAGGGTGGATCACGTGACTTTTCTTCAAATGACAATCTCTTTGGCATCACATCTCCTCCATATGTAACTGATCACTACAGTAAAGCAGGGTCGGGATTATAAATAATATCACCGTGACTCATTTTCAAGAACGACGATATTAATGCCATGTTTGACCCCCACATCTAGAGGGCGGACAATAGTAATAAGAGACACTGAGTTGCCCTTCCCCTTTCTTCAAACGTCTTACTTTAATAACAAGTTTAACTCATCCAGTACTTGTGGACATGGACTTTGGGTCCTGCGCAGTAGGGCACATTTAAGATGTGGTTATCGGTGAAAAAGTTACTATTTATCTTTTTCCTGACTTCGTATTCAACGGTGTCTTTACGTTAATTTCCATTTACCATCAACTCACACACGATTTCGGGTTTCTTTACTTCATACACACAAGTTGAGTTGTTTTTATGCTCCATTCATTTAACGTTTTACTGATCAAAATATGCTCAAGCTCTGCTGAATTCCTACAGTCAGCTCCTTTGCAACCTGCTGCTGATTAATCTAATGGAATTGTGAACTTTTGGCTTGTTTTAGTCCACTACCCCTGCCCCTTACTTACATCAAATACTTACGGTCTCCTAGAAGGTTGTATTCTTCCTTACAGCAATAGATAATTTGATTGACAAACTCATGGACTTTGACTTGATGGATAACAGTATCTGGAAAGAAATACCTCTGACGCAACTCTGCAATCGACTGAAGCTACAATACAACCATATTCCCAAACTCGGCTACAACAACCGCGGGAACTCATTGCCTCATTCTGTTTTGAACCCGGAGTCATCCATCAGTCTGGCGTTGAAATATCTTATCAACCAAGGTTTGTCAATAGAAGTTATTGTGAAAACGAGCAATTTAACCGCATCGGTTGTTGTAATGTTCTAACCGGTCTTACTTTTCAGTCGGTTGGTGTGCCTGATGTAGATGTGCATTGCTAGACGGTCTCTCTAACTTCATTGATAGGACATGCAAATTATAAATTCCGCATTAATTTAAAGATATGCGTACATGCTGAGCCTTACAGAACATCTGTTTGACTTTGATCCAACTTCAATCGCCTGGCCGTCTGCGCCGTAAAGTAATGGTGCGGTCCTAACTTCAGTTTGATTGAAAGAGCACACATACCCTTCTCATCTGTGGATTAAAGTTTCGTTTTCCCTTCGTGCAATTAGAAACAACAAAAAATATAAATATTTTTAAAATTAAAATGAATCAAAGCACCGAAGAGACTTCAACTCTTGATAACTGCTGCCTAAATAAGTGTCCAACTTGAAATCTCGGTTCTCAATCTAGACCTAAAACATTTGTTTTAAACTAGGTTCGAGGGGCAGACTCATTACGAGAAAGTTAATATTTACTTCTGTGCAGGCAAGTTGCAGCACGAACTGCGCGAGTCGGACGAGGAGTTATTGTTTCGTAGTCTGGAGACTCTAGTAGAAAATCTAGTGGCCTCGAGGGGGACTACTAACTGGCGCTCGGAGCTCATGGCCTTATCTGTCGAAAATTTCATCTGCCTGGCTCATATCCTTGAACACGAAGACGACTCGGTCACCGCCCATGCCAGAAGAGCCATCCGTGCACTAGAAGACCTGGTGAGTGGCCAATTCTGCTTTTTTCCTACTCTCCCCACTTTTCTCGTCGAATATTTGCAATCATACCACCTATCATTTTATGGAAAAGCAACAATTGTTTAGCCACTTTTTAATAATCTTTCTCTGCAGTTCATGGGCAGAGCAGTAATTTTGTCCCCTTCCTTAAAAGCCTCATAGTTTTCCCCAAATAATCGTTTAAAGAAATTGAAATTTGAAATATCATTTCTGCTTTCAACGAAATGAGAGTCATATTTCCAATTGCTGGCTGGTTTTTTTCAGTCACTCTTCAACTTTCCACCCTTTATGATAGCCGCCTTGGTTAGTCAGTAGTAGCAAAGTATGCAACTTGGCAAAGTGTGCTCAAATATTACTGTGAGTAAAATCGTTGAATACGAATGTTTGACCTCTGCGTGCCTCCTTTTACGCGGTTAACCTGGAGGTAAACATGAGAACACCTTTTTTCAAAAGCTAAGTTTTGCTGAAGTGCTAAATTACTGGTTGAATTTTCTGGCTACTTCATCGCTTGCATTCCTCTGGGAGATACCTCCTCACTATGGTGTTCCTTTTGGTTGAAATTGGGCTTCCTTTTTATTATCCAAAAGATGGTACCTTCGTTTGATTCAAGGCAAAAATAGCTGACATTTTTACGAAACACTTTCTGTACTCATACCAGTTTATGGGTGACGCAGAAATCGCTTCGTGATTAATTTCGATACCCAACGGTTTCAGATGCACAAGTATAAGAATTGTGGTCTGCTAAAGTCTTGACTTCTTCATTTCCAAAAGTAAACTATGAAGAATAAATACAACTGATGTTTGTACTAGCCTCGAGTCCGGAACGCTAAAGCTCAAAGAGTTTCCAAACCCTACATTTTCAATTTCCCACTACTTCGAACATTGGGCCGCGCGGCTAATTTCAACTCGTAGTGCTTACCTCCAAGCCACTTTGCATTTTGGCTACTCAACGAGGCAAAGCGGAAGCTATTTGCTGTCGGCTTTATTTAATGCCCCTCTTACAGGTAAACCTTAAACGCCTATTTTAGGAGGAGAGAGGATACCATATTCTGTTGGTTTGCGTCTGTAAACAAGCAAATGTCAGGCTTAAATGAACTGAATGGAAGTCATAAAGCTGGCGACCTTAGGACCATTATTTTGCGGTATATCCGAGGGGAGTCCCATAGTTTCATGTTATTTACTCACATTTTCCACGGTTATTTTCCTAATTCTATATTTCCCACGCACACTGCATGCCGACAAATTCCTTCCTGCGTCCAGTTTTTGCTGCTTCGTTTCGATGACACTGGGTGGTTACTAGGTCTGATTTGCTGCTTAGGTAATCGTTAGTTAGATTTTAACGTCTAAATTACTAAGCTCAGTGAGATTTCACCATTACAAAAGATGCTTCTGCTTGAAATTTGATTCAAGAAGCATAATTCACTTCTTATGTGGGAAGAGCCAAATTAAGGTTGTACAAAGAAGGTAATGACATGGATTGTTTTTATCTTACCAAGCTATTTAGAATTGAGGACCATTTAAAAATGCCACATAGGCCTATGTCTTATTTTCTCTAAAGCTGCAAATACAGCGAAGCCAAACTTAAGTACCATCTGTGCGATTTGAGCCTACGGGACAGATTCTAGCATACCATGAAGCCTCCTTTACTCAATATAGTATCTACGCTCATTCTACCTGAATACGGTTCCGATTGACTACCACCTTCGGCGGCATTGTTATTGTCGATGAGGTATTATTTCCCTGTAGGAACAAGTTACAAGTGGTTACCTTCAGAAGGGTTGGTTCACCTGTTATGGCGTACCTTTTCTCTTTCAGAGTTGTTTTTTCCCATCTTTCAAAACTCGCCTCCTGACGAGGCGTGAGCCAAGCGTTTACTTGTGACCGTAAGATCTAGCGTCATTGTGTGGCGACACCCCTTTTGTTTTAACGGCATAAAGATGTGCGTTTTAACAGTCTGCCATATCTACATCTGAGCCACTTACGGCAATTAATTCGCCTAATTTGTTGACACCCTAGGGAATGCGGCCTCTAACTGTGGTGACTGGAGTAGCTGTGCCTAACCCTTTTAGCTAAACTACATGGATAGAAAATAATCAAAAGAATGAAGGCTACAAAGCATCTTAATACTTCTGTGTAATGGAACATTCCACATACTTTCACGTTCATTCATAACGATTGGTAACTTTGGTCTGAAATTTGCCCCTGTCATGTGATGACAAGTTTTCTTAAAATTACTTGATGTATCACGTAATTTATCAAATTTGCGCGAGTTATAAACAATAACTATGACGTTTGATGAAAACCCATCGAGATTCTGCCGATTTATTCAATGTACTATCCATAACAATGGTATTCAAAGCCTTTGCCTAAGCTGTTCTCAATCAAAGGTTTTTCATGATCCATTTTGAGTCAAGAAAAAATTTAAACTATTAAACAAGCTTCACTGCAAAACACAACTGTAAGATTCCCGCACTCCTACTCGCGTCACCAAGATTAGTTCAATACTCGAATTAAGGCATAAAGACGTCAATATTAGATCTAATTATTGTGTCATTTAGACCCGCTCAGCCTATGGGGAAATTCTCCAGAGTAATCCTCTTCCCTTCCTACGAACAGCCGGTCCGTGCTACGCTTTCCTGAAAGCACTGGACATGTTCTCTCAAAAAGTAGGAAGTGCGAATTTACGAGCCCAGGGTGGCAGTTACGTACGTGGGAGAGTCACAAATGCGGGCAGTGGATACTGCATGATGTCGCCAGTGGGCACTGCCATCCTTTGGGCCATGCAGTTATCCGGTGCGGAGGATTACCACACGGCTGCACTAGCCGCATGGGAGTGTTTCCCGACGCCCTTGGAAATCAGTTTTGGCCGCTCCTCCGGTCGACCCCAGTCCCATCTATACCAACAGCAGCCGCAAAGCGGCAGGATTACTGGTGGCACCCTAGGCAGCGGCGGGGACCAGGGTCCCATTCAGGCGGAGGTGCGTCGCATGAATTTAGCCGACGAAAGCGCCAAGGTACGCCGTATGGCGTTGCGCATTCTTATGTCGCGCCAGAAATGTCGCAGCATCGCCTGCTCCCTCAACACTTCGCGCTGATCGGTGGCGGAGGTGGGAGAACGAGGGAGGGGGCAGGAAAGCAAACGGAAGAATTTGAATACATACATTCACATATCTACCACTATTTTATACCCATTTATGGCTTTTACAACAAAATATGCCTAGTATGGGGTTTTTTTGTTTACTTACGAGAGCGCAACATTCTACTCTGATCTCTTGCTTAGGGTAGAAAATTTTTCGTACCTACCACTCATCACACCCTGAACCTTAATTAAGGCTGACACCAAAATTATGGAGCAAGATCGGGACAAGTATGATCTATTTTAATCAGCTGAAATAGTAAGTAACGATGGAAATAGTTCGAATGAATCTAAGGTCAACAAAGGTCCTCTTTCGGCAATAGATCCATCCTCCCGAAATTTCCTAGAAATATTAATTTTACTGCTTAAAAATTAGTAAACCTTATTTAATTGAGTGCAGGTTATTAAGCACGGATAGAGGCAGTCATTTTCGATGCATCGACTAACCTTCGACAGTCTTACCATGAGGCTTTTGCCAGTGCTGTAGTGAAAGTGCTTCCCTTCACCTAACGCTCATTAAAAAATCTTGTACTGTGGCTTTCTAGCCTTTAATTAGATCAACCAGAGGCACCTAGTGTTTCCGAATCAGTCCTTTCAACGGTGTTTGATGTGTCAGGATAATAATACCAACCAAACGCAATTAATTTCGACTAAGCAGTTAATGGTAGATAACGCGGTAAGTTTGGCATCAATGGAGATTAAATCTTCTCTAATTAATTTCAGTGTCCACCTAAATACCAAGGCTTTTAAAATGAAATCGTTAGTTATGCGGCCTTGGCTTGCCGGGCTCCGTAGCAGGGTTATTACCCATTAGAAAATAAATCTAGTTTCTGCTGAAAGTTGTAAAATTGAAATATTTAACCTAAGAGTGGATCTGGTTCAAGATGTATACGCTAGAGTCGGGTACTTTACCCTCACCACTATGAATTTTCAATGTGATAATGGTAATACACGAGTTTGTTTAAACAATCTATTTACATGGAATCGGTAAATTACATACGAAAAATTGTAGGATGAACAGTTTTTGTATAATCTGACAATTGTGCATCATATAAGGTGGACTAAATGCGCTCAGCTACTTTGAAATTCGACTTGACACAAATTTGCCTCAGTAATTTCGTCCAGCATTTGAATTGTAGGGCATCAGAATCTTAAATACGAGTGACAAAATTACAAACTTAGAGGAAGTTATGCACCTACGCGTAACTAGATTCCTAGATGAAAATGATTCTCATCTCAATTCCTTATTCTGGTCTCTCGTGTGCAGTATCGCATTGTTCAACTTGCTTCACAGCATATAAGAACATTGTGTTGTGATGTTGAATTACCGAAGGATCCGTGGGAGGTACTATTGGAATTGTCTTACATGAACACTGCCTTGACAAACGACAAAAATAATATTCAAAACAGCAGATTACTTAGCTTTTGTTGGCATTAATAGCACTTCTTCACAACCTACTTTTCTTGCAAAAGGATTGAACAAGGCTTTGGTTAATAATAGGACTTTGGTTGATTTTATTCAATAATAGGGCTCGTCAGATTTTCACTTCAGCCAGAGCCTTGAACCACCAGTCTGCATGGTAAGTGATGGTAACGAGCACGTGGAATGGAGGCAAAATCAATACTCAGTGTCTTTCGAAAGCGTCTACGTGCATCGCATGACCTCAAGCACGCCAATTCAGTGACTAAATCTCAATTTAACTAAATTGGAAGGACATGCCTCAGTCAGCAAAGAAATCAAAGGGATCAAAAGCCTCTAAGGCCTCGAAGGGCTCTCAAAAGGGATCAAAGGGCTCGAAAGGTTCTAAGGGTTCCAAAAAATCCCCCAAAACAGTTGAACCAGTTGAGGAGCCAGAGGTCATCATTCCCGTACCCGAGGGTGTTATGCATAAGCGCATGCGTTTCCTTCTGGAATCAACGTTGAAAACCGATGTAGATTTCATTGTGGGACCTGATGGGAGCGAGACAACTATTAAGGCCCATAAGTGCATGCTTGCAGCTGAGAGTCCTATGTTCGAAAAGCTCTTTGCTGACTGCCAGGAGTGGAAGGATGCGGAGGTGAGAAAGCGAGAACAGGAGGTTCTCGAAATCCGCCAACGGGAAGCGGAAGTGGAGGCGGAACTCGCCAAAGAAGCTGCTCTAGGGGAAGCTGGCAAGTCTGAGAGCAAAACATCCAAGGGTAAAGGCAAAAGCAAGGATAAGGGAGGCAAGAAAAAGGGTGGCAAAAAATCCAAAAGTAAGGACAAATCCAAGTCCAAAGATAAGGATTCCAAAGGTTCCAAAGCAAAGGCAGAAAAGAAGTTTAAGGAGAAGGGATCAAAGAATTCCAAAGGAAAGGGTTCTAAGGGGTCGAAGGAAAAGAACTCCAAAAAATCGAAAAGTAAGGATTCCAAGAAAGGTCCGAAGGTGGCTGACGAAGGTCCTGTCACGTTAATAAACTTTCACAAAGACGAAGTTATTGGGCCTGATATAATAAGAGTGCAGGATGTTCATCCTCTTGGATTCTTCAGACTCCTCAGGTATTTCCTCTTTTTCTACTATTATTATTGGCTATTATGGGTCTGTTTTGAGACTTGAAAGTTGTCGTACTACTTGAACTCCGGTATTTCACATTGATAGATTGCCTCATTATGGCACGGCTGTAGGAGTGGTGTGCATGAATACTTGTCCTTCAAGAGGTTAAACCACATAAATTCCCATTTTTCTAAAGATTTGAGGTCGGTCAGTGAAACTTCAATCTAACATAAAAAGGCCAAATGAGTTTATATTTAAGTGGTACTTGGACGTATTTAAAAGGTCGATTCTTCCGTACATTTATGAGGGAGTCTTTCCATCAGGCCCCTGCAATTTTATAAACATCTTTGGTCACAAAAAACTAAACATTTTAACCCAAGACTGAGTACTTAAGTGAAGGTAATTAATTAGCTTAGCTATGTGCCGTTTCATAGTGATTTTACTCTCTGATAAAAGTCAAATCACACGGCCGATGATGATGGTAATATCATGAATAAAAAGCCAAATTTCGTTTATTTTTTAGTCAATGAGCCCTTCTTCCCTCTTCTAACCATTCAGAGCATAGATGGGGACTTAAGAAAAGCAATTCGGCTTAGACTCAAAAACGTCCCACTAGTTGGAGGAGGGTATTCTTGTTGATTTTTTTTAAACCCGAACGCAATTGACGTAAACTGCATCATTAGTTGCTCTCCTCCAAATGAGGAGAGTTAAAATAGGCAGTGGATGAACAGGAAAGTTTAAATGCACTGCTTTTAATGGTCTTTCTGGGTTATTGAGGTACCTTTTTTGAAATGGACTGATTTTTGTGTAATCGCAGTCGTCCATTTTCATTCACGAAGTCTTAGAAGGTACACTCTTTCTCTTCAATTTCGAAAAATTTCATAACGTCCATTTAAAAATTTGTAGCATGTAGCATTTTATCCGACGTCGCCATATACAAAACAATGAAACCACAGCCATTTTTGACCGAATTGTCGTAATTACCCATTACTTTGCAAAGAGAACGTTCTTGGTTCTTTTTAATGAATGGGTTAGGCGCAGGCTAGACAGTTATTCGGGTGTAGGAATCATCCTGCTCTGTTCAACACAAGAGTTAGCTGAGCGATTCGCGCCCAGCACATGAACTGGTGTGGCCCAAGAGCAATATCCTTCATGTGACAAAGACTGCAAGAAGCGCTTACTGAGCCATTTTTGTAGCACAATGTGACAGCCTGTGTTTCAACCATTGCATTACTGCGTATATTTCGCATTTTTAAGCCTTTCACCAGGCCCGGCGAAAAGTAAATGTGGAACCTATGAGTCTGAACCTCATCGCAGAGAAAATAAGTTGCATTTTCAGATCATTCCCTATTAGTGGTCTCAATATCTGAATCTCCCACTAATTCTTCCTTTTCTCAGCAAATACGGAAATTTTTCGCTGGCTAGTAAACACTTTACAGGAAGGAAAAGCAATACGAATATACAGTACAGTTAAAAATTGAGAGCAATATGACGAAGCCTCGGGTTTATCTATTTTAGCCTAATATCCCTATTACCACGCAAACCTTGCAGCAGTGGGTAAGAGGGATTCCCTGACATTCGACTAGTGGGAATATTTGAAGATAGTTCTGCCTTTTGTCTGGATTTAGTGAAGATTGTCTTACATTATTTACCCGCAAGCAAACCTTATTCATTTCACCTGGAACAAAAGCGCACTTATTTTTTAGCTTAGGTGATCATTATGGTCATGATTGTGTTTACATTCAGCGTTGAGTTGTACATAAAAGCTCGGTAAGGTCGGCTGTCGGGACGCATTCACTTGCAAACAGCATGCGCAAAGCTAAAGTCATCCTGATGAGGTTGTTTTTAGTACTTGTCAATTGTTTCACGCCTAGATGTCACTTCAATTAAAATGAATATCGCTAAGGCTTCTTAGTTTTTATTTATTTCACAGTGGTCTATCACGTTTGCAATATTTCAAGTGTGCCAGTAAGGAAACAACTTCCCATTTATGCCTTCTTTAAGTGGACCAAAAGTTCCACAGGACTCTTAGCACTGTTAATGCACTCTTTATTTTAAAGCATGAAGGCATGAAACAGCACCAACTTTATTTCTTACATTCTGTTACCAATTATTTAGATATATCTACTACGATGAGATGGTTTTCACTGGAGTCGTCGGCACAATAAGGACCCTTTACGCGGCTCGAAAGTACTGCTTCTATGACCTTGGAAGGGCTTGTGTCAACTACCTCGAGAATAACGTTTGCGTTGAGCACATCTTCACACTTCTTCAAGCCGCTCTGGATTTCCATGAGGACCGTCTTAAAACTCTGTGTATGCGCCTCATCATCAACAACACCTTCGAGGTGATCCACAGGGAGGACTTTAAGGATGTAAAGAAGGACGTGCTGGTGATGATTCTTGAGCAGGACGTACTCAATGTACGCGAAATTGAGCTTTTCGACAGGGTTATGCATTGGGCAGAAAATGAGTGCGATCGCCTCAAAATCACCGTAACGGCAATGAACCAGAGAATCGCTCTGGGCAATCACTACTTCAATTTAATCCGTTTTCCAACAATCCTCTCACACGAATTCGCTACACATGTTGTTGAAAGCGGTGTTTTGAAGACGGATGAGATCATCCCCATTTTGCAGTACTACATAACTGGTATGATATGTCTGGTATCTTATGCTCTTTTTCACCCATTTTGGCATACTTTGATTTATAAAATCAGGAACATTCTAAACTGCGGTGTGTGATGGGATAGTCTATTTAGCTGATTTACAGAGATGTACTGAATATTAAGCCATGACTCGACTAGGAGTGTGTACCACTCTCCCTTGCAGAAATAGTTACTAGTTTGTATTTTGAAAATGATACAAAGACCTGACACGTCTGCATAACAATCAACCGCCATTCTCCTAATCCTAGTGTACCTTTTTCAAAAACAGTACATCCGAATATTGCCAAATCTTGAGCTTGCACCGTAATTTGCATTGTGCCAATGTGTTATCCTCTCTCGACCGCATTTTAGCGATTTTTGGCACAATTTTGACTACGTATCTGTGGCAAAGGGCAGAAGCGCGTTTTGTGACTGAATGTTTTAACTGACCCACGTGAATTGGTTCTGGAAGGGGAATTTTTCACAATCCATGTTAAAGGGAAGGACATAAGCGCATCCCACCTTGTGCACATTCAAAAATACCTCTTCCCTTCTCGAAAACCTCACTCACACAGACGTATTTCAGCAAATGAAAGAATTTACTGCTGTAATAATATGTTCGCAGTGTAATGTCCTCGATTTACGGTTAGCATTTCATGCTTTAGCTTCTACCTATGATGTCATTTTACTTCAAATTTAATAAGAAAAAATTCAAGATACTGGCTGCAAAGGTAATTCATCTTGTGGCAATTGCGAATTTCAAAATTTGCACACCAACAGTATGAAATTGATTGCCTAAAACATTCTACTTCACTTTCAATTTGGGTGATGTATAGGGAGCATGTGCATTAAAATATCTCATCTAATCGTACACATTTAGGCCTGGGGGCTGCATGAAATGGAACCCACTTGTTGCTGCCTACCTTTATTCACCAATTTTAATCAATTTTAAATTTTTATTGATAAGGTGGCATAAGTTCACTGCGGCATGGTGGACAGTGTCAAGGTCCTCTATGGGGCTGTGGTGTGTGACCAGCAGGGCTTGCTAACTCGCGTTGGAAAGGTCATCAAAGGCTATTCGCAGCGCAAGCATGAGGCTCATACAGATCGAAGTGTTCACACACTCACCAATTTAATTATCCACAAATTTTAAGCTTTTTTTCTATAATCTATCATAGTGTTGAAATTTGTGAAGAAACTGGAGAGTATTTGAACTTAACACCAGTAAATGCCTCAGAGATTCCTTGAACAATGGCTAGGAAAGATACCATTAAACATCGATGGAATGGCACCTTTCCTTGCTATGATAGAATGACAGACATGCAGTGTTAAATGCGGATTCGATGATTTACTTCGATAGAAAATATTGAAATGTCACTACTAGGCACGAGTTTTCAATAGTGCATTTTGGGTCCCTTTGGATTCCTTTTGATAGCAAACTTAATTATGCCAAGGCTTCCACTTTTTGTTGCATTAACGCAATTTCTCATTTTGTGTGTTTGCACTTATTCTCGATTGCCAATGCGCAATGTGACTGCAAACAATTCGATTTTGGAAGCTTCCATCAGTGCTCTAATAACTCTTTCTTCAGGTTAAACGAGCCCACTAAGATTGGTATTTTGCAAAATGTGGGTCAGTCAAGATTCTCATTATTACCGGCTTTCGTCAAATTTCAAATACTAGGAACGTATTATTACAGCTATCCATTTTTGCAATACAAAAAGCGTCTTTATGAATGCATAACTTTTAATCCATCTTACGAATTGGCGAAATCAGTTAATGCGACGTTTGCTGTTTCGTCCCATAAAATCCCATTCAAACGAAATATTAGCAGCGCTCAAAGTCTTAACTTTGCATTGGATGAGGCAATTGAACCTTGACCATAATCAACACATGATGGTTGGTAGGAGTGGCCTCTTGTGAAGAAGAGCCTTCTGACTTATAAATTTATTAACACTGGTCCATCCTATAGACGTTAATTCACCTTGTGATCAGCCCTGGGGTAATATGCTCTTCTGTTGTTTTCTTCACAGTGTATGGGTGCCAGTGGGCAGCAAACTTCTTGCTGCCAATTTCGAACTTTTTTCTTGGACCACCCAGATAAACCATCAAGGTGCTCTACATCCACAATACTCTAAGAGCCCTGCCGTCTGTCTCCTTTTTGACCAAAGAATTAAAATGACAGCCTTGCTCTTCATTTGTTTGTAAAAATGAATCACGTTCCTTAATCAAATTTTATCATTGAAAATGCACTTAATCAACAAATTCTCTGATTTGAATACCCCTTAGGACTGCTAAAATAGAGTGTTTTTCTTGCTACATTTAAGCTGTTAAATAAAAGTCTCTTTTGCAATAAACATTGGACAAAAGGTGGAAATACGCTACATCGTGCATTACATTTCATCGTAGCGTGACTACAACAACTAAATAGGGAATACCGTAAACTGCCCCTTACGAGGCTTCATTTGAAAGAGCAAGCTACCTACGATAGTGATACTGAGACAGCCATATCTTTTTTATATACACCGAACACTTAGCACAACTTTTAGGGCTCAGTGTCGGCAAATAGGCTGTTCTAAATGTGATGGCCGTGGTGAACTTGCAGCCGAGGATAAACATTATGCTCGTCATTCATAGTTTTCTTAGTCAGGAAAAGGCGAGTTGGACTGACCTTTCCAGTTTAGTAATGGTCACACATTAAAGTCGAAGTACTTGCCACTGCAATTTATAATTTACTCCTCTGCAAAATAATTGAATATGCTCTTCTCATCTCATAATGCTTAAAAATGGTGCGATTAATTGACCTTATTTGACAGGAGAGCGTTTGCAAGACCTTGTGCATCACTAATGCCATGTCATATGCGCGTGTCTGAATAACAGTTTCACCGCGCATCTTAGTTACCGTAATTGGATTTCCCAGTTGTTCCTCTTTATGTACATTGGTAAAATGCGTTTGGAGGAACAATACGCAGCACTTTGTATTGTGGAATTGAAAGCCTAAAACTTAGTCAGCATCACTGTTCAGCAGTCCCAGGAGAGTGTTACACGATGATGTGAATGCATTTGCCAACATGATGGTGAGGAGAGTGAGGTATATACATGTAATACTATGGTGGATTACAGGTCGAAAGCCCAGCCTGCCATACTCCTGTCAGTCGCGGCGCCGACCATGTCTGGAAGTGGGACCATTGGACAACGTGAGTGTGGCCTACTCAGACCAGACAGAGATGACTTTCGTAGGTCCGACGCGGCCACTGCGGCGCGCCGCCAGCCATCGCGACATCCTTGTTCCCGTGGGCGTGCTGCCGCCGCTGAGGGTGGGATTGATATGCGAGCGACAGCGCAGTGGCTCGCCCCCAGCCCGATTTCACGTTGGCGAGGAGGAGTTCAGCCTTATTGAGGAGAATATGCGCCATTTACAGCACCTCGTCATGGAGCGCAACCAATTTGCATGGTGTAAAATGCACATGGCTGTCATGAGTAGCCACTATCGATAGGCTGATGTTGCTGGACTCTCGCGGATACGCCCTTTTTCTCTCTATTTGCTTCCCCCTCCCTACATATACCCAGCCAGATGCGAAATAAAACTTGCCCGAGGGCTCTTTGTATCAGGCTATATAAGGTGTCCTTGATGTCATACCTTTAGAATAGGAGATAATGAAAAAAATAGGAAATTTTTTACTTTTGGTGGAAATAGACCTCCTTTATATCCTGATGCGGGTAGTTACGCTTAAACTGATAAATCCACTCAAGGTCCTGATTCATGCCAGAAGTAATGATCTCAGTAAATCTTGGCAAGTGAGACCTCTATACGCTGCTCTCCTGAATAGATCACCCAAGGTAGTTTTTCGTTCGACTTAAAGGCTGTACTCAACTTGACGGACAAAATTTTTTTTGAAGGTCTTACACAGCAAAATAGGCAAAAATTTACTTTTGTGGAATTCTGTTTTAAAGTTACAATCAAATTTAGTGTCATAAAGCAGGCGTTTGGATTGCAAAGAGCTCAATTGCGAATTGAATCTTAAAACAGTCCTTTTGAATAAGAAGTAGCAAAATGAGTACTGAAGAATCCCTCATTTGCGTGCCCGGTTATTTGAGGCTGTTTGCAATTAATACTTTTTGTGGTTGCTCAAAATGTGTACACACTTGGTTGAATTGCGCCTTTAACTGCAGCACCGTCTCAATCTACCAGATGTGACAAATTAAGGAGGAGTAATCTGGTTGTTTTCAATAAAAGTCTGACAACTGCGTCGTCATGGTTATGTGTTACAATCGTAAACAAATTTAATGCGAGTCATTTCATAGAGTAGACACTTTGAATAGGCTTCTCTGTGACACTATAAGCCAAAATAATGTTCTACCATGCATTCAAATACAAGTGATTGTTGGGACAGTGGATAGTACTGTCACTTTGGTCCTTACCATTCACATGCCTGTAGCATTCTTCAATGTAAATTGTCCCTTATGCGTGGTCCATTATGCAATTCATTGCCCTAACCTCATTTCATTACACGACTGAGAGCAAAGCAACTCTGTCTGTCATGCTCTCATTGCTATTACGTTCCAAGTAGCACCGGTCACATGATCAAAGTGGTCAATTTAAAAACTCAAATATTTGTGCAATTTTTCATTTAGATTTACGTCTCATAAAACATGTCTGTACTTTGAAGAAGCAGGAAGTGACCATGACAAAGACTTGCAGGAATCCGTGAGATAAGGTCAAAGGTGTTTTAGCCTAGAACGCTAGATGAAATAATTGCATAGAGCCGAGGTAACTATTTTAGTCCACTCCTTACTAAATGGTAATGCATTTATGTTTATATGTGTGGTTAAGTCATTTAGGAGTTTGAGTTATTTTATTAAAGGAAGGCATTCCCCGTGGTCGGTCTAGAGTTTCCTGTATCCCTTTTACCAAGATCGGCCGATCACATATCACACAACTTACAATATACCGATTCAGTGTTGCAAAAAAATCCTGAGGGGAGAATCTCTTACTTTCATAACCATTGAGGTTATGTGTTTAGTTTTTACTACACACGGATGGGGACATGGGTCTTGAGGTGGATTGGTCGTAAGGTACGAATAGGCTTTACTTACTTAGTGTTTTTCGAAGCAGCATAATATGACCGACTTTGAACAAAATGCTAGCTTAAATCACTAAGAAAATAGAAGAGTGAGTTCAGCTTTTTTTATACAGTGGAGTGTGGACAATTTTAGCACCAATCTTCATCAGAGTTTGCAATAAGTGCCATTAAACAACCAAAGAAATGGAATTATGCTTGACGGCGACAACAACGATTCAGATCAGTAAATTAAAAAAGTGGAAAAGAGGTCTTATGCAAACTTATGATAGAATAAGAACTTTCACTAGGGTGCCACGGGCATCCACTTAGAGTGGTTTATTTGGTGAAATTCACTCCTGGAGGCCACTCTCCGAATGTATTGTCCTTGAGTAGCTTGTGGCGATTTGTGGAACGCAATTGTTCGTATAAAGCATAGGCATGCCTGAGTACTCGGTGCCCTGTATTATACCCTGTACTATTTTTCTGCTCGATGAAACCCTTATTTCATAAAAATCCCTGCTGATTCGTATTGATGCCTGCTTTCCATATTCAAACTAGATTACAAATATTCAGGGGTTCCTCGTAAAAATTGTACAGTGTTTGGAGAAGGTGTGAGAGTAGAAAACATGCTGCCTGTAAAGGGTTTAAATATCTTGATGCTACTGATAAATCACCCCAAAATGCATCACTTTAGGAAGGACCCTTTCCTCTCGGTAGCACAGAGAGTTTTGTTTTCCTCTTGGCCTAAATTAATCGCGATTAAGGTGTCAAAAGCAACTTCCCATGCTCCTCAAAGCGAGAGATGCGTCAATTCGTTTAAATCTACATCAATTGGTAAAGTCGTGAAAGCTAAGCAGACGGATGCCACACTAAACTACGTAAAAACGCGGCGCTTTTAGATTGTATACTGACAGACTGACTAACTAACCTGCAATGAGAAATTCCTTTTGGTTTGGAACGGTAAGCAAATGAACACATTACCATCTAGGCCCAACACTCCCTTGGTGCGTACTGGTTTCATCCTCAGACTTTGTTTTGTGTGTAGACTGTAGACGGAATTAATAATTTTAGTTTTCTTAGGGCTTGTGGGACATATCAATTCTACACGATGCAACTCTAACCCGTGTAGGAAAGTCTTCTTCAGTTACAACCAGGATTAGCTAACCAGTTGGACGAGAGACCTATTATTACAAGGCAACCCAAGACCTTCCATCCCATACTCCACAACTGGCCCATGAGAAGACGGGAGAATGGTGGGAGGGAGCGAAGGAGCGAGTGATACTATCTTATTCTTATCCTCCGTTTTTAGACGTTTTTCACCGAGTAATGATTATCACCTTTACTCAATATTAGCATGATCACATGCCAAACAGACAGTGTTAAAAGTAAAGTTAGAAAAGGAAGTGGGTAGGGACAAGTGGTTTGCAACGAAGGACGAGAAGTTATCTGAGCGTGAAACTCGTAAGCCTGTGTCTCTTAAGCAGAGAATTGTGCATCGCAGTAGTGATTATTTTAAAAAAGAAGAGATTTTACCATTATAATACGTGTGTGCAGACCTCATGGAATCAAGTTTTCCCCCCTCATGGTTTGAATTCATCTACGCTTGCGTAGAGATCTACGAAGTGCACAAATTTATTGTGACAATTTTATCGCGTCAAAGGGAATAGTCCACAAAAATTTTCACAATTTGAAAATACAAAATCATTCAAAGCCTAATTTTAGTTTTTCTTTTTACGGAGCCCCGATTTTAGTCGCTGAAGTACATTAAAGTTCCTTTGAGCTTCTTGATAACATCATGTTTATAAAGGAACAATTCCGAAAGTAAAGAGCAGATTTGTACTTTGTACCTAAGCTGTGGTTAGAGCGGTTCAAAGAAGGGCACAAACGCTACCAATTAGGCAACAATAATGCGATTCCCTAGTTTTGTTCACTTTTAATCTCTTCATTGTTTGAAAAGTCGAGTTTCTACATTGCAAAACGTTTTGCACTCGGTCTTTGTTCACAGAGGTGAAAAGTCATCATTGACATGCAACTGTCTCATCGTGTTATCAGGTACCTATTTCAAAGTGCCATCGTTTGAGATCCCCTGCCTGGCTGACATTCATCTTGTGGGTTCCCAAATGCAGGTTAGCTGGACAACTCTCCTTACAAAAAATTTAATTAAATTTGTTTCTGAAACACAGTTGTGTACCAAAAAATCATTTTCAAGTTTTGCCAGAGTGGGTAAAGCATACTTACAGACAAAAGACAATGGTCATCGAATTGAGGAAAGAAGTATGCTTTTATGTGTAAATTCCATCAAGAGGGGTTTATCGTAGATGCACGAATTTATAGCCCTAATTGTGCCGGCCACCATAATCGCCCTTAACAGTTCTTCCAAATGATGAAAGTGTTAAGCTATCACAAGGTAAGGCAAAACCTTGCGTTAGCACCACGAGTCTCAAGCCTTCTTAATATGACTGACTGGTTACTCCAAAGGATCACTCTCACCACGTATGTGTCCCTGTCTATATATAATAAATTTTATATAACATTCTCGTTCGGTCGGTTAATCTACCTTAGCTTATTAGTAATTGATTCCAAATTTTGTGATTTACTTTATTCATTCAGACCCCCAAGATTGCTATTTGCTGTACATTTGCGGACAACTGGCCAATTTCAAACAAGATAAAAGTGCCACCATATTCCGCAGTCTCAATTACCATGGCTAGAGCCGACCTTTGCTTTCCATAGCCAACCTGATGTGTTTTCAGATCTATGTTTGCGCCTTTTTCATACTTGCTTTCTCCTTCGATTACGTCTGATGTGGCTTCACGAAAGACTGGTATACCTGTACTACCTAATTGTCACTCTTCACTCTATCACTGAGATTGTCATTATCTGTAGTCCTACTAATGCATATGCTCCGGAAGTGGCGCACAAGAGGCATTTCCTTATTGGCCTCAGGTTGTTTTGGGACTGTTTTTGAAAGTTGAAAGCATAATTTTTGCATGATACATTTAAAGTGCAGTAACGATCTGACCGCGTTAAGCTCATGAGTGAAGTATGGAGTAATAAATCCGGCGAACAGCTGGGGAGGGCATTGGGTCAGCACATAAATATGTTTCGTTATTTCTGTGCATTACTATCTGGTAGTTATTAACAGTTCCCTTGAAAGCATTTGCCTCATGCTTCCCATTTTGAGACTGTTAAAAATCATCATGTACATCAATGTTGTCGTCGCTTCGCTCAGGCAATATTTTTATTTCACTCCTGTTACGACTAGCTGTGTGTGTTAAAGTGATGTTTAGAATGGCATACTCCAACAAGAGACATTTGCTCAATTGTATCAAGGTATATTTTAATTCATTCTAGTATTCTTCACCGCCACGAAACGGCGTTTTGCACTCTAAGTACTAGAAATTCCATCCTTCTGTGTCAAAAATGGCCACCGACATGCACACTCCAAAAGCCTGAAATCTTCATCACAGCTATGCATCCAGTTGCCTTCGCAAAGGCCACGCCTTTGACTTCCGTACTACCAACTGAATTCTTTGACATATGTATGCACCATATGGGGCATAATGGATGGAAGTGTTGTCATATTTCATTTATAAGTTCTACGTCCTTTTGGTCTATTCCTCATTTATTCCGTAGCATTTGCAAGTGGTTAAACCTCATTTGCCAAAATTTCCACTCGCTCAATTCAGCTAGTAACATACTAGCCGCTGTATTTTGTTGCCATTTCAAAAGCGATAGCTACTGCTCCTACTTTGCATCGAAAAACAACGACAGCAACAACGATGCGGTCAACTTAGGCACACGGCGCATATGAACAAGACTGTCCTAATTAACTTCTATTTGCTTTGGCTTTGGCTTTGGCTTTTTCTGTCAGAAAATTTCCTTCACATTGGCAGGAACTAGCTACCTATAAAGTTGATTCTTCAATGAGATGTTTATTAGCTTCTTAAAGTATATACTAAACAAGTTTTCCGTTTAACTAAAGTCCTGGAGTTTCCTGCAACTGTATTTGCTTGAGGGGCAATTTTAAGTTAATCTAACCCGAGGAAGAGATGTTATCGTATCAGACACGCAGAGTTGTTGGAGGATTGAAAAATTTAGCCCTATTTTTTGAGACGTCTCACTTTGTGGACATGTGCTTGAAGTGTACATGGTATTCTCAAGCCGTACTGAAAATGAATGGTTGTCAAAGGGAAGAGGGCCTCGAAAATTGAACGTCATTTAATACCTGATGCAACTTTAACACCGACAGAGAACATGGTCAAGTCGGCATTAACATTAGGTCACATTGTTTAACCGACTGGTTTCTAATGCCTGCCTTCCCTCACAACCGTATACTTTCAAAGGCATGCAAGAGCCTCTGTCTGTTTAGGCAAATGGGAGCCAACTTCATTTACCATCGTTTTAAAAGATAAAACTGTTGCAAAATTGAATTCCCAAGGAGTCGAAAATAAAAACTCTTTGGGCTCACAGCCTATTCTAGATGAAAATGGAGACCAATTGAATGCGCTGCATTTCTTTAGATCACTCGAAATTTATTAAACCAGGAAAATTAAGTCCTTACCATCCTACTCAATTTATAACTGGTCTGTCTTTTAACCCTCCGTTATGAGAGGAACTTTTTATTTAATCTCAAAGTTTCTCCTTCCAGCAGTTTAATCATTTCACTGCAAAAATTGTTTGGACTATTCACAGTTCCTATCACGGGTTACAAAGGCACTAGCACATTTCCTAGGTTCAGATTGCCTTGAAAAGGGATTTTAGTTTTGTACACTTAAACACATAAATGTGAAATGAAAATTATTCAATTTCTTAGCATTATTATTTTGAACAAATACCCAAAAGTGATAGTTTAATAAAGGACGAAGACTGACTTAGCTCTGCGTTGAATTGAACTTAATGTGAAGCGAGACTCATCGGTCTCCGCTTCCCCATTCCTAACATTCTTAGACAAGCCCGGTTGATTTGCTTTGGACATCTTTATTAAAGGTGACAAGATGGGGAGGGAAAATACAATGTTCAAGAAGGAGGGGAGCTGTAGTCACTAGGTACGGGGGAGAACAATCCGACTACGAGATTCCAATTTTTGCTTGCCTCCTCCCTGAAAGGTACATTAAAACAACGTAAGTGTTACATTAAACTAATGCTTAACCTGCTGGTTGATAGTTATCATTATAAATAACAATGAGAAAAGTGTCAAAGAGTGGATCACCGTCGCTGAAAGCGTATTTTAATTAGGTATTGAATATCACATAATAAATGCCTCCTCCGATTGTTATCGCATGAGCAAGAGGCGGACCATGTCCCTGAGTTTGTACATTATATATCAGGGTGCCACTAGTTCAACTTCCCCATAAGATTCTACTTTACATAATTTTTCGGCTTTCACAAAACTACGAAAAGTGCAATTAGTAGTAATTTTATGAGCCTTAAAGTTTAAAATAACATTCTTGATTTGCCACGTTCCCCTGTTCTGGAAGGTAAGCCAACTCTAAAACAAACGTATTTTGGCTTAATCGGGCATTAATTATTTGAAACCTACTGCGTATTGCGAATAATTTTAGTGCGCAATTATCCATGGGCAGTGGCATAAATTTCATAAAATTGATTAAATTGATGTATTAATTTGCTTCTGCTATGTTTTACGTCCAGTTCACAGCCAATTTTTCGGCTTATCAAACAATAATAGCCTCAAGAGTCCAGCTTTGTTCCTTACATTGAATTGTAAGGATCCATAGAACTGTAATGCAAACTGTACAAATCTGTTTAAGCGAATATGGGCGCTTATTGGAGAACCTGCTTGCTGTCACCGATGAGACGAGGGTGAATTCACCTAAAGGTCACAAATTGTCTAGCAGCGATTCTGCTTCCCTCTTCACTTCTAACAGAATTTGCCTATTGAGAATACTGTTTTGATAAAATTTCTTTGATCAGTTATAAGGGAAATAGAGTAAGACGAACGCATCAGGCCCATTCCTCGTTTACCAACTAAATAGTCTGTTTGTTTCGCACATTATTAACGAGAATGCAAGCTGCATTTAACATTTAATGGTATGGAAAACTCGTAAAAATAGAATTTTGCTATTTTTTAAATTTTTTTCTGCATTGTTTCTTGGACTAACCCGACGTAGCCTCTACTGGTGCAGGATTGGGCTTTGTTCGCTCTGGCTTATGTACATGCAGCTTTTTGCATGAGTTCTAACAAGTTCCATTGGTTCGAGTGACATTAATGAAAGGAAATTATAACTAGAGTTTTCTAATCAAGTCCAGTGCGCCATTCGGGCTATCCTTGTCTGGTCAGTGGAGCTCCAGTTCTCTTTGGACCACTTGTCAACCAATGAGCATGTTGTGATGCACTGATTGGTTAAGGTGCCAACCCTGAGTTGCTTGGGCGAGACTTGAGAGCAAAAACAGCTAATCGCGGCGGTAATGGGTGAACAAATGAATAGCCAGGATGACACAGCTGACATGGCGCATGACGGCAGGCAGTTGGGTATGGGCGAATCCGCTCAGGTACAGATGATGGTGGCCTCACGAAGAGCGTCCACTGTGCGTAGCTTCGCATGCTGTGGGCCAGGTAAAAAGCGCTACCTCATCTCTGTCCTCTGTATGACCTGTCTCACCATCGTCATTGGCATGCGAGCCGAGATGCTAAGCATTATAACCAAACTGAACGATACCCACGCAGGCCGACATGCGGAGTCGTCAAATTTAGAGCCTGAAGCCAACCGAGACAGCAGAGCTTATCTCGGCGTACAGGTCGAGATCACTGGACCAGCTGCCGCGGATGAACATCTCTTTTTTAAGCCCTTGCATCATCGGCAGTTGCCGTGGACTGCGACTATTACCGAAGATCTGGTTGAAAATGCCGTCTTTTTCGCCTACCTTATTGCCAGTCCAATCGGTGGTTATCTGACAGTGCGGCATGACTCGTCTCTCCTGTTAGGATGCTCTGTTGCAATGACCTGTGGACTTAACTTATTTCTTCCACTTGCTGAAACTATTGGGTCGAATATTGATGCGAAATTGGCGCTTATTATAATTTTGAGGCTACTACAGGGCATGGCGGAGGGTTGTCTTATACCTGCAGTGTTTGGGACTCTGCGATACTGGACTCCTGAGAGCGAGCGGTCGACACTCATTTCCCTGGCGGTGATAGGGGTCTCGTTGGGTCCGCTAATTGGACTACCAGTCTGTGCTGAAATCGAGCAGAAGTGGGGCTGGGGAGTGGTCTTCTACATATACGCAAATTTGGGTCTTATTTGGTGCATCTTCTGGTGGCGTATGGTGGACGAGAAACCTCAAAAGGACAGAAATCTCTCTAAGGCAGAGAAAATTTATCTAAAAGAGAACACCTCTCAACAACTGTTGTTCGATCCTGCAAATGTGAAAATACCATGGGTGGCAATTTTTACTTCAAAACCAATAATGGCAATATTCCTTACGTACGCTGCAGACGACTGGACATTTCAGATATCGTCGGTATGCATGCAAACATTTTACCAACAACGCTATAACGCCAATGTCCAAAAAACAATATTTCTGCTCTCTTTTCCTTTTCTCTCTCGGTCAATCTTTGTTCCCATAGGTAAGTTATCGGGCAATTTAATGATTCAAATTCCTATCTACCATGCACGGACCTAAGTTTTAAGTGGGGACCCGTTGCAACTCTAATGATAGAAAGCTTCTCATCATATTGAACCAGAGGAAATACGTGACTTGAAAGCAATATTCCCTCATCTAATGACAGTTGCTACCCTACAAAATGTGGGCGGTTACAGAACACACGAAAAGGCTGTTTTGGCGCCGTTCCTAAATTCTGTAATGACTTGAGATGAGGGTAGTTGATTAAGAGGCGAAATCCTAACTTTCTCATCGATGCGAATATCTCGATATCATTCTATGCTCATAAGGGTAGCTGGTCTTTGTACACTGCCACCAAGAGCATCTAGTATTGCGACTAAAGTAATTCTAACGAAATGTTTAAGTTGATAGCGGCTATCTCTTCAGTAGTCGCCTTCGCATTTACTACCACTGTAGCCTTTGAATGCCAGTGGTACCTGCTTATTTCAGCAATTTTTTGTTCTGCCTGCTGGAGGCGTGGTAGACTCTCAATTAGGCCTTGCCCTGAATAGCCAATAAAACAGTACCCCGGAAGTACTTAACTCGCAATTATTAGCCCGGTTTCACTGTGAAACAAAGACTACAGAGCAATTATCGCCGCCCTTTTTTAAAGTTATTGTAGTACTTCATTTCACTTGATGTTCTAATCCGTGAGTCTTAGCCCGAAGAAAGATTTCTTCAATTTTTTACCAGCTCGAAAGTTCATCGGACGGCCGATAATAGCATTCAAACGTAACCTCTTGGGAGTTATTATTCAGAATATTCATCTATGCATCCCATTACGACCTGACTCATTTACCTCCAAACACGACACCACAGTATATAGACCAAACGCCCATTGAATTTTGCTTAGATTTCCCTCATAGAATCTTTAAAATCCTCACAAAAATTTCAAAAATTGTGGTAACTGCCTTCCCGCCTCAATCAACGAGCTTCCTATTTACTAGTTAGCTTTCCCAAAATCACAGTTAGTTTCTGCAAGTTCACCATTAAATTTGGCCTGTAGCATTAAGTAGGGTTGTTTAGACCTTGCCCTGGCTCTGAGGTGTCATGTGATGTGTCTGCGCCTATTCCTCAAGTGCCTACCCACGCACACCTTACTGGCGTTGTCGCCAACCTGGAAGTGGGCGAAAAGTCGATCCGTCTATGAGCTTTTGCATGCAATGTTGCAAGACTGTAGGTCTGTACTCTGGTGAGTATCTCCTGGAGTTGGAGGTTCATAAGTATGCCAAAATTCAAGTGCCAGAGACGGAGATAAGCGAATTGGTCGACGATTGCTACCCCGGAGGTGCGGCTCAGTTTCACAAAATAGGCAAAGCCTAATAAATTTTACTCTTTATTCCTTTTAGCATAAATTTTGAAAAGCATTATTAGTGAAATGTTCCTTTGAAACCATACCAGCAGAACATCTCACAAAGAGGTACTAATAACCTATGCAAATGTACAGTCAGTGTCTAGCATTATTTCAAAGTGTTTACTCTATCGGTATCTTGTGTCCAGTAAACATTTAATAAGATTTAAACGTCCATAGCAAGTGATCATAAAATAGGAGTCATTCCTAATGACCAGTTAGGCTGGCAACCAACAGCTGGAAGAGTACGGCTGATGGCGGATAAGTAATTTGTCTGGATCGTTAGTGTTTTGAAATAATTTTGCTTTGAGTTCGTTCCAACATTTCCGGATGTTTAGAGCCACTTTTACGCGCTTTCATATGTGGGATAGTCTTTGGCTAAGCTGTGCCCTTGATGATTCCCTCTTTTGCCTGACTGCCGGCTCATCACGAAAGCACTTCAGTCGATCTTAAATACTCATGTGGAATTTGGAATTTAGACAGAGCTGTGTAGCTCATGTAGAACTTGTTTTCCAATCCGTGCTGTGGAAATTAATCGAGAGATACAAAGTGGTAACGTAAAAATTTCGATTGCGCAATAAGTTATCTTCAACTATTGCGTCCTCAGTGGTGGAAACTGCTCAACGAAATTTTATCACTCCTGACTACATGTGAGTATACACATCAGCTCAATTTATGGCTGATTAATGAAATTATATACAACTTCGGGAGAACCTTTCTGTTTCTAAGTTCTAGAAGTTTTTATAAGAATTCTTGCCGCAGTCGTTCCCTCTTGACTGGTTAGTAGTAAATGGAAAACCCCTAAATAAATTTGCTAACATCAATAAGTAGATTAGAACCAACCCAAAGGATATGAAAGTATCCGGAGTGAGGAGAGCGTGTATGGAGTGTCCCGAGTGCATATGAGCTATCAGCATCAGACTTTTGTTCTGACATTTTTATCTCTTAGTCACTCCAGTTGGGATTCCAAAACAAACAGCCTGACGACGCTTTTAGTGTGCTGGTCAGGTTCACACCAATAGGTGATATGAGATAGAGAGGAAATTCTTTCCTGGATGCTAAAATTGGTAGAGTGTTCGACTCATTTTTCTCCGGTGTAGCAGCTTATTTTTATTTGAATGTGATAATTTGATGCTGTTTTTTAATGAGGATTTAATTATAATTACCAAAATAAAACGAAGGTTAAAAATTTAGTGACTATCACAAAAAAATGGAACCGCTTCTTTGAAAAGTGCCGTATTTGATGTACACAAGTTGATCTATACTTTGTCCAGTGCCCTTTTTGATCTACGATTTTCCCAAGTAATTAGCAAATTTAAATACGTCCACTAACGGGGGTTAAGAAAATTTTAAGGTATATTATTTGCGCAATACTAATGTGTCACCCTCCCCAAAAGTGCTGGCACAAATCGGAAACGCCGACCAGTCTTCACGAATGGGTTTCCGGACGTCCAAGGCTACATGGGCATACCTCGACTTTCCACCTTTAAATATTTTATATGAAAATGTGCGGTAGGTCTGTGTCTGAGTTTACAGTTTTCCTTAACATTCTCGTTCAAGACTTTAACTTTTTAAAGAAAAGAATAGCATACACCGAATTGTTTGTGAATATGCTGTTATTTCATAATTTTTTTTGTTTTAACTTACTACATTACGAACCTAAGTTGTCTTTTTGGTGCTGCCATAACGGCCTTTGGAAAAGGTACCCTCGAAGTATGAATATAGCTGATGGTAAATGGCAGCACCATTGGTTCCAGTTGGTATGGCATTTTCATAACGGCATAAGCTCTTCAAATGTGATTTGTGTTTTCGAGGTTGAAGAGATAGAAACCAAATTTGTATGTTTACTATAACACTGTTTGATAGTACCACCCTCGGCATATTTATCCTTCGCTCTCGAATGAATTTTGATGGCATTAAGTTAGTTATTTCAATTTGAAGTTGAGTTGTGTAAAAAACTATTAAGGAGCATAATATCACTTAAATGCCATATGAGCCTTTGCAGTCGTTAGATGTATCTGTTCTATAGGACAGTCAACTTTTGTTTAATCCCACTTCTTTCCTTATCGCTACTACCTCAGTGGAAGTACACTTAAACGTGTGCACACAGATCGGGTTGTCAAAGACTTGCGCTTTGATCTGTCATGTCTGGTCAATTACCTCAGTCTTCCTCTTTCTTGGACCTTTAAAACCAACCGCATCAACTTGAATGACCTTGTTTAGGTACCACTTTGTTATATTGGTGTCCCTCATCTTCCACAATAATTCCAATTTGATATTAAGTAACTCGGGTGGTTGCATCGTACCTCAAATCGTGCTCTATCAGCCGTCATTCAAATGCCTCCCGAGAGCTCTTAAAGGGACTCTACCATCCTCACTCTAAAAACTGCTGCCTTATATAACCTGCGTTATTTTCCATTCTCGTGCCTTTCGGTTCTTCATGCAGTCGGAGTATGTCGAGCTTGTTACTGCCCTCACATGAAACCTTTCAGTTGTCTGTTCTAAATTACGTCCCCATATACTTGCCCAAAATAAATTATGCTGATTAACTTTATTACCATCACGTCCAAGACCGATCATAGGTTTCGCTTCCACACTTTTGCTTCCTTTGGCCTTGAATACTCGACCGGAGGCCTTGCAATTGTGAAGCTCATTTGACAAGACCACAATTTGATCGGAATTTAATCCTTTAGCCAAATAAAGGTGGTCAGCAGTATGCACGTTTTATAAGTGAAAAAAGGAGAACTGTTTTAAATCTGGAGGATCAAATTCGTCCCGTATACTACATACTTTAACCTGATCACCCAACGTTTTCAATGTGCACGAAGAAGTGAATTTCTTAAACAACTAGTATTAAACAGGGAATCAAGTGGATCTAAAGGAAATTCCTTTCCCTTATTTCAATAGGCGGGTTTCTAGCAGATGTCATCAAATTAAAAACGCCGATGTCTTGCACCACAATCCGCAAAGTTTTCTCGGGGATTGGATTCGGTCTGAAGGGGATATTCTTCCTAGCACTGGGTTTTGCTAAAACCGAAGTACACGCAACCATCATCCTTTCAATGGCTCTTGGTAAGATTTTTTACATACTTTCTTGTAAGCCCCTCCATTGACCTATTTTCAGTTACTCGACTGTTTTAGGAATTGCTTTTATCAGTCTCATGTTTAAGCGCACCTAAAACCCGATCTTAGCCGCGAATCTCCAGTCAAGTTGGTCTTTGCTTTAATACCGTCGTGCAAACATGCGCCCAGGTTTGACTAGGTTCGGAACAAATCAAACTTTACTGCTATCACTCATCCATTGTAGTCCTCTAAGTGAATAATAATGCTAGGTAACGTCTTATGGGTTTGCTTTTGGGATGGCGCTGTCTCTTTCAATTTTCTATTTATGTCACCAAGGTTGATTGATCGACTCTTTTCGACTCTCTCACAAGCTCCTTTCAGTCTGGTCGACGTGCACGTATCACATTTGTCGTAGATAAACGATAGTGAAGTCTCCTCCAGTCGGTCCTCTAACGCACTACTTTGATCATCAATGAGACCAACGTATTCACAGACTATTTCAATTTGAATGCTTCAATTATTTACATCTGTTGCCATACCGTCAGAAACCAGAATGCGGAAGCTTTTTTTACCTTATAAATTTAAATCGCATTTTCACATATTCACAGCAATAAAACTTCCATGGTAAATCAAGCCATCCATTCTAATATGTGATATTACGTCTAGCTCATTGAAGCAGAATTCGCTGTCCCATGCTCATTCTTGAACTACCTCCCTTGCAGGCATTTCGGGTCTAGCCGTTGCTGGCTACGCCGTCAGCGTCATTGAACTGGCGCCCAAATTCGCTGGACTAATAATGGGATTCGCAAACAGTATAAGCACTCTTACAGGCAAGTTCACTATCCATTTGCGTAATTCCCTTGCAACTGGCTCATGTGGAAAAATTGGCCTCAACAATACCCTCCATCTTAAATGCATAATATTTATCTCACCACAGCGCTTTCAAGCCTCCGAAGAACTTAAGGTGTAATAGCCTTTTTTATGCACATTGCTGTGGTTTCCATAATCCACTCAAGAATGCACACAAGTTATTAACTCCTATATGTCACACAGTAAGCTATACTGGACATTTGGAGTCAGTTGCTCACCCGCTTTTGACTCGATTTGACCCACACATTCAAAAATTACGATAAGATTTGCGTGTTTTGGAGAATAGACAAACAACGACCCTTCATCGTTGTCGATTGTGTGCCGCCACTTTAAGAAGGCATATGAACATTTCCAGACAGGAGAAAGAAACTCCCTTTTTAGATGGCAACAGCTGTTGCCATCTGTCACCCGTTAATAGCTGAGAGGACTAATGGGGTTCCATTAATGGAGAAAAGGTTGTTCATACCGCAAGGGATTTTCAGCAAACAACAAAGTAGTTTTCAGGTCGGATTCTAATGCGATAATTAAAGCATCACCACCATTTACGCTAGCAGCCGGAAGGTTCTGCCAGTGACACCTAACATTGAGCTGTGCTGCTGCAGTCAGGAGGGTTGCGGCATAAAAACCTTAATGGATTTGGATCGAAACAAAAGGTAATATGCAGAGGATACGAGGTTCAGAAGTCCCCAATTTGCATTGCATTTCAGTGCTACCCATTTATTTCACGATTTTTCAACTGTTTGATTGGATAAGTCGTAATTAGCCACAGCATGAGATTTATTTCTTAAAAATTCAATTCTCTGAGTTTACTGAGTCGGTCACAATGTGTTAGAACGTCTTTGCTTTGTTTTCCTACTTTATTTAGGATATCCGATTACTGCATGATAACTAAAATTGTAACTTTCCACTTAAATTCCGAATTCTTCACGTAAAAAATCATGATATTATTTGTATTTCTGCCTTTG